ACAAATACATTGTTGTCTTACAGATTTCCTATTAAATGAGTTAACTTCATTCTCAAAACATTCGTTCGAAAATAAAACGTGGCCATGGCCTTCGGCTCTTTCTACCCCGTAAATCCCTTACTGACGTGATACTATGTATGTACGTAGAATAGAAATAAATTAGCGGTATTTCTGTTGGTTTTTATTTGTGATGATGATGCTGGCCCTTATTTTGGTTCTTTGTTTTTCTATATATTTATTTATAGCACAGTGTGACATAAACCCGCACTTTACGCACGCTTTTCCGTGACCTAAGTTGCCTATTTCTGCACAGTGTGTAAATAAATTGACCAACTTCACTCATGTAGAATTAGTACATTATGGATACGCGTAACTTAACTTTACTATGCCAATCAAGGAATAAACGTTCATGGATACATTGAAATTCTATTTTGTTGTAATGATATTTGATTTTTTCCTTTTGAAATATACTTTCAAAATGGTAATCTGAACCGGAATTCTTTCTTTTCAGAGTTTGACTTGCAGTCTGTATTGCAATTCTTTGTGATTGCGTCCGGGGCGGGTTTATGTCACACTTGCTATAAAATAGTATACGATACTTGTGGCCTAAGTTGTCTATTACTACACGGCGTTTAGCGCCCGAGCGGAGCGAGGGTGCAGTAATCAAAAAGTCTTTGGCAGTAATAGGCAACTCAGCATAGGTCACGCGTATCGTAATGTACTATTATAATCTGTGTATGAGTGACGTGTGCTTTATACGGTTTTTTGAACGCCACTTTTATATCATAATCGACATGGACTGTTCATATAATACCAGTGATGTTATGTATGGTGAAGGTGGTGAACACTAACAACTATACAGCAAGCATGTTCTGTCGCATGAAAAAACTGCATACAACGCAACGCAAGCACCATATCTAACATTTCGTTGTCGTTTTGGGAAAGGTAAAGGTAACACACTATTATAAGGTAAGTAATAAGGTAAAATTTATTGCATGTATTTTTATAAGATATGACATTTTGCTTATTGACGCGTTAGTCGTTTTTTTTTGGTCCGGCTTTACCACGGAGTACCCCCACTAGAGTCCGCATCACGCAAATTTTGTTTGAAATCAAAATCGCCAAAGTCGGCGGCGTGCAGGGAGATCAGACGCGTTGTGATTGGACACGTCAAGGTCAGATGATATACTCAGTGCAGCGAAGTGATGAGGGTAAGATCGATTTTAGAAAATATCGACATTTTCTATCGATAAATAAAGGACACCCGGCATTATGTGCCAAAGTTGTATACTTTTTTAATTTTTTTATCTGTGTTTCATAATTGGGTAACGTAGTCTGGCAATATTTGTCATCAGCAGCTAGCTGTCAATGTCAAATACGTAGGTTTGTCAATATAACCTCTATATGTAGCCGGGTCGTCAAGAGAAATAACGGATAAAAAGGCAATCACAGCAGAGAACATTCACAATCACAGTACGCGGGAGCGAATGATTTTTTTGTTTGTATTTTTGGATTGTCAAATTGACATTTGGTTTTTTATTTAGAAAAAGCAAAGGAATCATGGTTTTTACAGTCACTTGAGTAATATTTTCAAGTAAAATTCTGTCCCTTGAAGATTTAGGGTTTCCATATCAAAAAATATTAATCATTATATAACTTCTTTCCACGATTCACTAAAAATAAGGCAAAATTAGTTTTATGTAGCAAATAATTTTGGCTTCATTTTGAGACCAAATTCAACTGTATACAAGTTTAGCATTTTTTCTATGAAAAGTGCCGGATCTCCATTGTACAGAGGCCTAGTACTTTGGTGCGCTAGTGTAGCTATGCGCAAACATACTCTCTCCACTTTCTTCCAGCGTTCTAATTACATGACGCGACTAGTAACTACATACTAAATAAAATATAAGCAACACAAAAAACACGTAAAAAAATATCTAGATAGACAATAATATGCTGTTTATGACAACTTTTAAAACTTAAGGCGCCTTACTCATCGGCTCGGTACAGGTTCGTTTTGTTTGCGGGAGTGACTGTCAGTGGTAAAGTGACGAGAACATATGTAACTGTTTACAGTTGGAGTCCAATCTTTACGTTTAGTTGCACTTATCCAAAGTTCCTTCATCTTGGCACATTTTGGAAACCTATGAAATAAATAAAACACGTAATGTTACTGTATTTTGATTCTCGCATCAGTCTGTAAGAAATCACCTTAAATATCTCTTTAAAGATTATGCTCGTTGCTGTTCTCGTGAAAGGCACATGCGATATACAGACTTAATGAATTTAATATTAATACGGTGACGTCCGTGGCTCTTGACTTAGCACACGCAAAATAACCTAAGTATAACCAAATTATTGATTTTGAAGGAACTTGGTAAATACTTATCAAATTTTATGCTAGCTACCACCCGCGACTTCATCCACGTTAACTTAAGTTTTTTGAAAATCCTAAAGAAACCTGACATTTTTCCGTTACAAAAAGTATTCTATACAACGATATTTTATACCCTAGATACGACAACATGTACAAAATCGTGGCCGAAACGTGACCAAAAGGTACATTTGACGATTCACAGAGGTCCGTAAGATGATCGCGTGGTCAAAAACAATATAATGCATTATTTAAAAAAAAGTCACCTTTAATGCATACGGCATAAGCTCTTAATTAAAACGCATGCATCATAGATTTATGGCAGTTCAAAATGCAAGTTCCTAAAATTTTACGACTTATTGTTATATGCGAAAGAAAATAGACCTTATTTTTTTAACTTTTCGCGCTCAATTCTGAATGTGCTGTTAGCTATTATAGCAGGTACAGACCGCGAAGAAAAAAGACGGCTATAGGGCGACGTATAACCGACCATGCTTTTGAGTATCACAAATATGTTATATTAAATCAGTTTATAGTAAGTATTACAATAAAATTTGCTTCAAATGCGTTAAATTTATAATAATAATAACGTTTATTTGGCTCAAATTATATAAATAACTTATTGTATTACATAAAGATGACTATGTACCAAATTATAAAAACATTAATTAGATACCTGTCGAAAAAACAACACTTTACGTACTATTAGTATTTTTTTCGCATTTTTACGGAGCTCTGCGGCATTTTGACTTTTCATCGGTCCGCGCGTGACTGTAAACCAAGAAGTGCTAGAATAAAGTTTAAGCACTTCTTGATTGGGACACATTTTGAGCGATCGTGGTCTATTTAGGGTATTCAATATCGTTAATTCCATGTCTTTATCTAGGTCATAAAGTATGCGCACTTAATTTCATACAAATCGGTTTAATCGTGTAATAGTAACAAACATCCATACAAATTTTCGGGTTTAAAATTTTAGTACGATATGATTAAAAACTGTTGGTTGTATACTCATGATATCTGTTATTGTATACGATGAAATAAATAGTTTTTATTTATTTTTTCTATTTCCGTAGCTGACAAACTTATCGATAAACTTACGGGTACAGACATGAGCTGCGTCAAGTCACCAGCAATACACGTGCCGGTGTGAGAGCGGAATAGCATATATGATGTAGCGCATGCGAGAAAGGGATAGTGTTAAAAGACATCAACGCGTTCACCAAAAAATAAATACAATTAAAAGCAATTTCATATAAGAGTATTTTTGTCTTTTTGTAATGCATTTAAACTTACCGGTGAAAAGTAATACCATCTTTTTGAAGACTGGAAGTTTTACTCCACTTTCCACATAATTTAATTGCACAGTACGGCATTTTTTCTAGTTTTTTAACGCAAAAACGAGAGACGCACTTCTGCTAACGCTCGGCTTCGGAATGAAACGATGTATAGCGACGTCTGTGGGCGTGTCCCACGCATACGTATACTTAAGCTTGGCGTAAGCGCTTGCCCTTGTATGCGGACTCTAGTGGGGGTGTTCCATGGGCTTTACCTTTCTTTTTTTTCACCCCACGCCACTGGTACCTTGCGATGCGCACATACTTTGCGACAGCGTTTATAGGACACTAGCTGTTGACTTTGTTCGAAACGTCAAAATGTGTAGCCTGATTCAGGAACTAAAATAAAACCAGCAGTTTAATTTATCAACAAAAAGACGTCTTCAGAAGTCTACAAAACAAAATCCCAGTCCTCAATTAAACTAACATATTAACACAGTGCGCACAGTACGAAGCCAAAATAACGTGTAAGATAGATAGATCACCAACGCGTACGCCACTGCTACTACCTGCCCCCCCCCCCCCCCCCCCCCGTCGCGTACGTAGTTTCGAATTACTTGTCGCTAAGAGTGGGTGAACACACAAACAGACAGGTTTTTTTTTATTTTATTTCATTTTATTTAATTAGATAGCATGGAGTATATATAACGTTTTTATTGAATTATGATTTAAAAAAAGGTAGATTAGCTCTAACTATTAGTAATAGTACTTACCATTTGATATATACATGTATCTCCACATTACCTCGATGTTACATATGCTAAATATGAAAAAACACGAATATTTTCCCATTTAGGAATTTTCCCTGGGTTTTTTCGCTATATTTTCCCACATTGGGGTTTTTTCCGGGTAAAATCCCATCTCTAGGCCCTACCCACGTAAAACCTGAGGATGCCCCTCACTCGGTCCACGGTCCCAAATAGCGTGGTTGAGATAACGGCACTAGATGAGGCCACGGGAACCCTTAAGGAATCTTCCGCGACCTCACCAGTGAGCGTCCGAGTCGAACGGACACACCCGTCTCCCCCCGGAAGAACGGAGTGTTGGGGATGCCCCGGAGTATCATGGGCATTCCCAGCCATCAGCAAAGACCTATGCAAGGCAGGATCTGAACCTCCCAAGTCCAAACCCCGCAGGCCTCTGCCGGGGAGAGCCTGAAGATGAAGGGGGTTCCCCCGTCTCATTGCTTACACCCTCCTACGTCGGAGAGGGACCGCATGAGCTTGCTCCTCGCAAACCCTCTCTGCAACCTCCTTCTGCGAGATGACATCTTCGCAAGAAGAGGCCACGGCCTGCCAAGATCTGTCGCTGCCCAGCATAGCATTTACCATGCCGGGCAGAGAGAGATCCCAATCCACTGCCGCTACCAGAGTACGGCGCTGCTGGGACCACACCGGACACTCCTCAAGGGTGTGTCGTGCTGTATCTACAGCAGCGCCGCACTCGTGGCACGACGGGGTCGCCTCTCTCTGTATCCGATGCAGATATTGTACGAAGCAACCTTGCCCCGACAACACCTAAACCAGTCGAAAGGTTAGCGACCCATGGTCCCTCTTTCTCCAGCGATCCAACATATTCTTTTATTGGTTATTTGTCTTTTTTTTTTAAATATTGTTATCTATTTAATATCGTATTTTTTTATATTTATATATATATTTAAATAGTTATGTCAGATACAGATGATTTTTACTCATTACATGATAGTAGCTCGTCGTTTCACTCCTTTAATTCTTCATTAGATTTCTCTTTGAAACAGGAGCTCTCACATGAACTAATCGATTTCGCCATATATTTTAAAGCTTGTCACATAAATGCACAGAGTATTCCCTGCCATATTACAGACTTTCTCGATACCTTCTCTTCGGATACAGTGCACGCTGTGCTTGTATCTGAAACCTGGTTAAAGCCATGCCTTAATTCCAGGTTTCGAATTATTCCGCAATGATCGCATCGGTAAAGGCGGTGATGGTATGGCTATCTACTTGTCAAGCCACATACCAGCCAAAATTTTATATACATCCTTTTCGCATCATGGCTGCATGGAACATTTGTTCCTTGAAATTGACATTAGGGGTACCACAGTCATCCTCGGAGTCGTATACTGCCCTCCTTCGATTGATTACTTTTCTGACTTTGAGGTCTTGATTGATTCTTGTGCCATCGATTATAATCAGACCTTTTAATTAATTCACCCTCTTCATGAAAGCTTCGTTCTTTAATTACGTCGGCAAACTTCTCCCTTTTACAGCTTAATCCTTCTCATCATAATCTCAATACATCAGATTCGTGGATTGACCACATCATTGTATCTTGATCAGATCGTGTCGTTAAATTCGGTCAATTCTCTGCTCTTTGCTTCTCCAGACACGATCTTATTTATATTGCATATGATGTGAAGCCTCCCAAATCGAAGCCTAAAATGATCTCCATTCGGAACTTTGCGAGGATGGACACGGAAAAACTTGAGCGTGATGCGAGTTTAATTGATTGGTCTCCTATTCGAGAAATGCCCTCTGCCAACGACATGGTCACCTACTTTAACACGGAGGTTCTTAAGTTATTTGATAGGCACACTCCTATAAAAAAGGTCAAATTAAGACGTCCTCCGGCGCCCTGGATTACACCTGGAGTGCATATGGCCATGCGAAAGCGTGACAAAGCTTTTCGCATTTATAAAAGATGCCGCACTGATTTACATTGGAATGCTTTTAGAATTGCTAGAAATCGTTGCAATCAGATGGTAAGAAAAGCTAAACTCCATTACATTCATAAGAATATCCTGAAATCTTCTTCTGCGGATACTTGGAAGTTTCTCCGTACCCTTGGCATTGGTAAATCACAACTTCCGCATAAGCCGTCTTTTCCGTTAGATGAGCTAAATAAACATTTCACTTCTATTAAACCTCTTCTTACCAATCAAACTTTCTACTATCTCTGCTCTTTCTTCCAAGGTCCCCTCAACAAATTCAGAATTTTGTTTCAATTTCTTAACTGAAGATGAAGTCCGAAAGACAATTCTATCCATTAAGTCTAATGATGTGGGCTATGATAATATTTAAAGTCGAACTATGATCACTTCAGTGCTAGATTTTGTACTTCCTGTCTTGACTTATATATTTAATTTCTCCCTTACATCTGCATCTTTTCCTGATCTCTGGCGTAAAGCCTTAACTATCCCTCTACCTAAAAACAAAAGTCCCACTTTGCTTAGTCACTATAGGCCTATTTCTATTCTACCATTCTTATCAAAGATCATTGAAGCCGCAGTCCACAAACAACTTACTTCATTTATTAATTCTCATAAACTTCTTTGCCCTTTTCAATCTGGTTTCCGTCCCGGCCATAGTACCACTACTGCTCTCACCAAAGTCCTTGAAGATGTCCGGGATGGCCAAGAAAATGCTCGTCTGACACTATTAGTTTTAATTGACTTTTCAAACGCTTTTAACGTTGTTGATCATGATATTCTCATAGCTGTCCTTTCTCGACTAGGATTCTTATCTTCAGTGCAGAAGTGGTTTACTTCTTATCTTCGAGATCGCTGGCAGGCTGTTCGTTTCGATCAGGAGTTATCCGGTTGGCGCGAGCAGACTGCTGGTGTTCCACAAGGCGGTATTCTTTCTCCTTCACTCTTTTCTTTTTTCATAAATACTCTCACAGAACTTCTAACTTCTTCTTACCATCTGTATGCGTACGACTTACAACTGTACGCCAGCAGTGACAGCCCTCATTTGAATGAGGCTGTCGCTAGTCTAAATCGCGACCTCAGTGTGATCAGTGACTGGTCAGCTTCTTTTGGTATTTCAGTAAATCCTACTAAGTGTCAATCATTGTTGGCATTTCTCGTCTGCTGACCCAACTTGACCTTACTAGGGTTAATTCATTATCTTATGATGGAGTTGTTATTCCTTTTTCGACTCAAGTGAGGGATTTGGGTTTAATTATCGATGACAAACTTTCGTGGATAGACCACGTCGATTTCGTCTCGCATAGGGTGACCAATTCTTTGAGATCTCTATACAGGTTTAAGTTTTCTCTGCCTATTCGCACCAAGATTGCTCTTGTTCAATCTTTAATTCTGCCTATTATCGATTATGCCGACGTATGTTATCCAGATATTAATGAAAATCTTTTAAATAAGTTGGATCGTTTTCTCAATAACTGCATTTGCTTCATATATGGCTTACGTAAATACGACCATATCTCACATTTCCGTCTGCATACTCCCGTCCACTCTTCTGGCTTCGTCTCATTTTCTTTCACCATCACGGCTGTACGACTCTGGAATGACTTGCCCCCTAATATACGTAAAGTTCCTAACAAATTTGTATTTAAGGGATTGGTTCGTGAGCATTATCTTAATATAATTAATCTGCGTTCTCATATTTGACTGGCATAATTATGTGTATGTTTATGTATGTATTGTAGATATAGCATATATATTTACATGTATGTATTGTATATATATTTTAATATTTCTGTATTCTATTGATATATATATTACCTACCTGGTTTATTTAGCATATGTCCATATTGCACCCCCGTATTTTTATTTCTCACGCTTTTACTGGTCGACTGGTAGAGAATGCCTTATGGCATTATGTCCGCCATTTGCTGATTGTTTTGCAATAAAGTAGAAATAAATAAATAAATAAACATAGGATAGATCGTTTCTTATGTCTGGATGCCAAGCATAGAAGCCCGCATCATTTCTCCCCAGAGTTCCCCCAAATTTTCTTCTGTCTGGCGTCTAACTCTGACCAGGTTCTCTATGTCAGGGCGTTCCGGGTCCGCTCCTTATGTAGTCCCGCCAGAACTTGGGCCTCCAGTTCCCATGGTGGGTTTCCTGCTAGAACACAAGCCGCTGCCCAAGAGACCGTTCTCTATGCTAGTATGGCCCGAACTGACACTGTTTTCTAAGCCTCACGAAGAAGTGCTTTTTTCTTCGTGTTTAAGCTTTCTGTCCAGGCCGGTGCTCCATAAAGGGCCATACTACGTATGACCCCTGCGTATTTTCCTACACTTTATATTTGGCCCCCCAATATTTGGCATTAGTCTGCCAAGTGCCGCAGCAGCTCCAACTAACTGCCAACGTCCATCCAGCTGCAGTCCCAAATATTTGATAGACGGCTGCAGCAGCACCCTCTCTCCGTCCATTCCGACATAAGCCCTGGCAGGTGGCCTGCAGCGCGGCCCGTAAAACATGGTTGCCTCAGTCTTGGAAACCGCCACGCCAAGCCCCAGTGCTCTTATTCGGCTCACCACTAGCGAGACCGCACCCGTTGCCCGTCTCTTTACCTCACTATAACTGCTCCCTCTTGCAATGACCAGTGTCATCTGCATAGCAGATGACATTCAATTTTGGAACCAGCACCGCGCGGATCACACAGTCGTACCCGATGTTCCACAGGAGTGGTCCAAGGACCGACCCCTGTGGAACATCGCACACCATAGGATGGGATCTCATATTTCCTTCCCTATCAACATAGAGCACCTCTAGGTCTGCAAGGTAGTGCTCTATGATCCGTCTTAAGTATGACGGGAGTCTGTGATATCGCAGCGCCTCCTTCATACAGCTGTAGGGAAGAGTATTGAAGGCATTTGCAATATCCAATGATACTGCAATACTATTTCCCCTCGACTCAGCGACCTATCTGCGATTCGGCGTAGCGCCAAAACAGCATCTATAGTAGATCGCCCCCTACGGAAACTATACTGATTCTCCGCCAGATTAAGCCCCACTGTGGCCAAATGGTGGACAACACGATCCGCAATTATCCTCTCTAGGATTTTACCCATTTCATCCAGTAAGACTATCGGGCGATATGCTGCCAGAGAATCAGCTGGGTTTCCCTTCCTTTCTCAATAGACAGAGCCTGCCTCGTTTCCATTGCTTAGGGAACACGGCAGACTCGAAACATCAATCCAACACCGTTCGGTAATATACCCAAGGATGCTCCAGTACCAACGGAATTATCCTCCCAGGAACGCCACCTGGACCCTTTCTTTTGGTTCGGAGAACTGCCACCGCTTGCTCAAGCTCTTCCGTTGTGACGGCTAAAAACTCTGGACTCTATTTCACTACCGGCACCAGGGAAGCCGCCATTAATGGAGAGATTCTGGGGGCCACGGTGGGAAATAACACCGACACCACATGCTGCAGAAATCCCGGTTCCATGGTTTCCGTGTCGCTCTTGTCGAAACTTGTTTCGGATCACTCCCCCTTTGTATTTCTGCTAAGTATTCGTCCCCTGCCTCGGTTTTCGCCCTACAGAGGCTACAGAAGCCATCTTGAGGCGTAGGCAGCTCATGCCCTAAGAGTAATCCAGGCTATACCCAATATTCTCAAGCTCTATAGGGTAGACTATACTGTATAATGATTGGCCCCTTATGCGGAATTCTTCATTTGTTTGTGTGTAGATTAATTATTAGTTTTCGATTGAATATAATTACACAATGCTGTTAAATAGGCATAGGATTGATAAAATAAGAACAGCTCAATTATGTAAAGATTAAAATATTTCAAATGCAACAAAAAAAGTTTCAAATGAATAGCGATTGACCCTCGAGGTACAATAATTGGCCCCTACGTGTATTAGTGATGGACCCACTGGATATTTTTTATTTCTAATATATTTACCTAAATTTAAGAAACATAGGCATGTATAATGGCCTGTGCAGACGATGGACTTTTTGGAGGTCCACCGAGCACTTCTCAAGTCCGGCTTGCTGTGTCTGGTGACGGCGATGGTTGTGGATATGGTTTAAAATTTTGTTTGGTCAGCAATAGAACAGGTGCGTTCGCACCGAGTCCATTTCGCACTGAGTCTATCCACACTGGGCCCATGCCACACTTGGCCCTAAGGTCGGATCCAGGATTTTTTTCTGGGAGGGGGCACAAGTGGCGCATGGCCGAAAAAAATCAACAATTATTATTATCATTTATTTTAAACTTTATTGACCAAAATACAAGAGAATGGTACAAAAGGCGAACTTAATGCTAAAAGCATTCTCTCCCAGTCAACCTTTGGGAAAAAAGAAAAACGCGAACAGCGGTATAGCTAGATATAATAGATATTACGTATAATAAAATGGTAGGAAAGTCAAAACTGTAGATTGAATATTTTTTTAAAAGAATACTTGGGGTGTGATCTACAGTCGGTACCGAAGCCTAAAATACAGTCTTTAGAATTTTTGTCTGTTTGTCTGTATGTATGTCCGGGATAAACTCAAAAAGTACTGCATGGATTTATGGGATGAATTTTATAAAGTAGTCGGGTCAACATATAGGCAAATCAAATACCGCAAGGTGGGGCTAATTGGGACATTTATTTATGAAATAGGTGTTTTACAAAAAACTGCAGTTAGTTTATCAATATAGATCGTTATTTTTGGGTAGATCTTACAATTTTCTTTAAATAACTGCTATAATTGAACATTTTCTGTGTACAGATCTATAGATACATGGTTTTAAAGGTGCCGTTCCAAAAATCGCATTGATGAGGTTATTTGGTATCTGACTTAATTGCTTTTGGTTTTCTTATTTTGTGAGACCGTTTCGAAAAGAAACCAATGAGCGATATTTGAAAAGGTTAAAGAAAAAGGAGCTGTCTTCAGTTTATGTCAATTTCACATCATACGGTCACTAAAAAGGTGAAAAATTACCATGAATTATTTAGATGTAATGATAATCTGTCGCAACTTTGGGGTTATTTGGAATATAACGTTAAATATCCAATGAGTTTTAACAAGAATGAAGCAATATTTGGAATATTTAAGGGGAAGTCTTTTCTATTTTATCCCCGCTGATTAAAAAAAGTAAAATCATCAGTTGGTTTATCAGATAGAAGACTTATGAAAAAATTATATGGGCAGGCACAAATAAATAAAAAATAAACAATAATTTACGTAGGAACTATTTTAATATTATCAGATTTAATAAATTAATAATTTTAAAATAAAACTACTTACTTATGAATTATATTTTAATAATAATATTATTTAATGACGATTTTTCTAGTTATTTTACAATACCTAATTACTGACTTATTTAATTATTAAGTAAGTGAGACTACCTACATATTAATAATAGGTAGGTCAGTAATTAGTTTTTGCAAATTTTTTGGTATGTTCGGACAATGCTTGCATATCTGTAGTATAAAATTTAAAAAAAAGTAAAAATATAGTGCCCCAAAACATCTTACCCTTAATTAGGTTAAAATGAGCAATTGGGGTTATTTAAAACGATGAATAGAAGACAGCAAAGTTTGACAGACTTTCAATGGGCTATTTAAAACAAAGCTTCAATTAAAACCGAAACCAAAAAGCCCCATAGTGAAAAAACCGAATAGCATGACAGGCCGTAAGAGATAGAAAAAAGTTAATTCAATCACTGTAATGCCGATGAAAAACACTATTTCGCAATCTATTTCACTCTCTACATACCTTTCTAGATGTAGTGTACCAGACGAAAGTTTTGGCACCACAAAATATACCCAAATTTTCCGATTTTTTGAACGACGCACTGCTCAATGTTTATCGCCAATTACCTCCAAAATTCCAATTTGACATTGACATAAAATGTTGTTCCATTGCCAGGTGGTAAAATATATTTCCTATTACATGCAGATAAAAAAATATTCATGTCAAAATATTTTTTTTCGCAAATTCCAAATAACCCCCCTTTACGGTATGACAAAGTCTATTAAGTCAAAGAATAAGATTATTCATTCACACTTTCCCCTTTTTTACCTCGTTAGGGGTAGATTAGAAAAAATCCTGATACACGTCATTCTTTATTTCTGATATTAGTAAAATAGTAGTTAGGTTTCGAATTAATAATCAATAGTTAAAATTCATCTATTTTTCCATCCATCCATAGTAAAACTAAAAATGACAAACTTTATTTAGAAAAGTATTGGTGCCAAGTTTCAAGTCTATTAACCCAAGGAATAAGATATTAAATCTTTCGGATGGTTCGCAATGATCGGTTAGTGGATGGGTGACCGGAATCTTATTATCTCAAGCTCCTCCGGGCTTCGGAAGGCACGATAATCCGTTGGTCCAGGCTGCATCTGCAGTTGTCAACACCCAACAATCCGCACAGAGTCCGCGGGGTGGGTCATGGCCCAATCTTCCTATTCCATCCATAGACAAGGCCTTTGCCCCTGCAGTGGGGACAAGAAAACTTCTATTTTGTCATTTTGTTGTGAATTAGCAGGCAAGTGTGTTGGTTCAGGAATCAATTTGTTCGATTGTACGTACTTGGTACACCACATTAAGTTATATCAGATCACCAGGTCAGGTCATGGGGTGTCGCTGCTGCAGAGCATAACACGAATTCCTTCGACAAATACGATTCATTTTTTTTTATTGAGAATCTTTGCAAGCAAACTTAATTTGGCCAAAATCTTTTCGGTATTTTTGCAAAGCGAAAGTGGCGAATGAAATAAAATGATATAATTCATCCAAATTTTATTTTAATATTAGTCATCCCTGCATGTCATGCAATTTATGCAATTCAATTTGTTTCCTTCTTCGCTTTTTGTTCACACCAGCGCCACATCACTTCTTCATCTTCTCATTTTGGACTCGTTCGACCTTCTAGTGCAGCGTTGTTAAGGAAATAATATTAGATAAAAAAGTACATAATTAATTTTTTTTTTAAATATCACCCCTATTCATATTTAAAAACCCGTGAGACTATCTTGTGCACTCTTTTAAAACTAGGCTAAAATAGCGATTGAAACGAGATGCCTCTTTACGTCATGTTGTTATAAAAGTCGATCATTTAGGCACCGCGGCTAGTCCTCTTATTGGACAACGCCTAAGCGTCGATTATACCGGGTTCACACGAGGCGATTTTTATCGTGATCAACTTTTATCGTTCAATTGCTTTCATAACTTCGATTCGATTGAAAATCTGTTCAGAGGGTTCAAATCGCATGCGATATAGCAGTAGACCAACTAAAATCGCCTCGTGGGAGCCCGGTTTTATTATCGGAGTGGCTGAACCTAAAGTTTAACATTGATGGCCGAGATGTACTCAGACAACACTCGACAGAACAAGACTATTTAGACAATTATCGCAATGGCTGGCACCATGCCGCGTCAGTGTAATAATCTAAATATTTGACAACTCAACTTTCTGATAGAAAATGAACGGGTCTTATGAAAAGGATATTGCTTATCACGAGGCTCTTCATGTGACCGATCCCGAAACGGTGACTTCTCCTGCATAAACAAATATTATAAAATGAATAAATCGTTCACATAATAATATTAATTTACGAAACTATTAAATCAATTCATAAAGAAATTGAGTTCACAGTTCCCTGAACGCAGTATTTTTCTTAATTTAAGACATTTTAATTATAAAGCAATATGCTATTACACTTGTCGCAATTGGCGTCATTGCAAGTAATTAAATTCAAGTTAATGGTTATAATCCGGTAAAGTATAAGTGTTAAATATTGTTAGAATCTGTGTATTTCGACGACCTCCGTGGCCGAGTGGTTTGTACGCCGGGTTTCATGGTGTCGCCGACTCGAGAGGTCCCGGGTTCGAATCCCAGTGGGGGCAGATGTTTGTGTGATGAATACGAGCATTTGTCCTCCAGTCATGGATGTTTAATATGTATTTCTATAATAATATACTTATATATGTACTGTATATGTATTGTATCCGTTATCCTAGTATCCCATAACACAAGCCTTACAGTGCTTACTTTGGGGCTAGGCTAATTGGTGTGTGTTGGAATTATTATTATTATTATTTCAGTGTTTAAGATGATGGTTGTATTATTTGTGGACATTGCGTAGCTCATGAGTAATAAATATTTACAATTTCAAAATTTCAAACGGTGGCTTACGGGTAACGTTCATCCGACGTTCGCGCGACGCTCGCATGACGCCTACTATAAATAAACTTACATAGTACAGTGTTTTGATGATTATCGATTTATTACCTTTTAAGAAAATGCGTAGACGCTTCAATAGGGATGATGACGGGGTACAGTAAACGAAATTCTATTTAGTCCATCAGTTAGATGATGAAAAAATTATGGACACATATTTTTTCTTTGGGCAAACAACCAAAAAATGACAAAGTTATAGCGCGTCAAAGTTTGGGAGTAGGGGCTCGTGACGTCACTTTTGAGTGAATTTTCACTTATAAGTGTACTCAAACGTGACGTCATTCGACTTTTCAAATCAATATATCTCTGCAATGTTTATATTCTGTGAAAAAGGAAAAAATACGAGTCCAATACTTTTTGATAATCTGTAATACTTTTTGTTAATGTGCCTTGGGGAAATCACCTATAGGCAGTTTTTGACTTGGTCCTCGTGTAAACAACATTATGACCTGGATTGCGCAAATATTGCTTTCAAACTATTTCTTCTTATGGAACGTACCAGATATGTATGTGCCCGGATATGCGATTTGTGTCGCAGTAAAATACCGAAAACTAATAACTCAAACACACCAAAATACGAGCATTGTTGCTGATAAACAACTCGACCAACAAAGTTGGAGTTTGATAATCATTTATCTAATGCAGTTTCACAATCGAACACGTTGGATGGTACTTTCGCAACTCAAAGACGAAAACTGTGTAAAGAATCTATTAATGTTTTCAATTGTAATGACCTTGATTTCGATAAAAATAATTCTGATTGTAAAATCGAAAAGCCTATTATGAAAGCTTCCTCGGACTCTGCCGTGCATAAGATATTATTGGCACGAGAACAGATTATGACATTGAATGAACGATTAACTAACCTTATCTCTTCAATTGATACCACACATGTAAAGCAAGATCTGAGTAATAACAAGACTAGCTAATGGAAATTGATGAGCGTCTACAAAATTTGGAGCGAGCAAACGAGAACTTGGTATCTTGCTGTTGTAAATGTCACAAAAAGTTGCAGTCCCAACCAGCACCTCCTATAGATACTACACCCCAAGCGGAAAAAAATCTACCGAGGCAGTCGGTCGTAAGGGAACAATCCCGTCGAAAGGCTAAGCAATCGAAGGTTTGGCAGATAAAAGAAAAGTTGATCTTGATGCACATGGTCCGATTAACACGATCACTGTGTCTGACTCTCCGAAGGTCATGAATATGAATAGTGATGACAGCTAATGATAAAGATTTGAATGTTGTAGCAGAGAACAATCTTGTCGCCAAATATAGCAGCGCTGTACAGCTGGCCCCGATACAACCTTTCTAAAAAAGCGGTAGAACCACGCAAAGCTATCCATCTCTGGAACATGGAATCTGAAGCTGAATATATTTTTCGTTATATACAAAATCTCTATCCAAATATAAAATGCTCCGTAGAGAAACTTAAAGTTCGTGGCGATTATAAGTCCTATAAATTACAGTTCTTGACGAATATTATAAAGAATATATCTGTTCTGAAATCTGACCAGTTAACGCGCGACTTAAATCATGGACATTTTGTGCCTCAAAAACGGAGGAGAATTTTAAAGGAGAACGTGAAAAATTAAACTTAAATAATGGAAAAGAAATCTAATGTTAATGGAACATGATATTGTCGCCGTCACCGAAACATTTTAAGATAGCTCAGTCCCAGACAGTGTGTTGTTTGATGGATGGAGTATCAGACGACGGGATCGTGTTTCGCTGGGAGGTGGCGTTCTACTTAGCTGCACGAACTGAAATTATCCTGCAACGCTGTCATCACTTTGAGACTAAACATGTAGTGCAGTCATTGAAGCGAAAAATACGGCCTTACCTCCGAATTTTTTTACTGTGAACCGATTTGCATGAAATTTTGGAATTAGGCTCATCTTACCCTTAACTTCAAAAGTGAAAATGATCTGAACTCCGCCTATTATTTTTAAGGGGTGTAAACAACCCCTTAATGGAAAAATTGACATTGAGCCATTTTATCGCTAGAAAACATGTCTAATAGTAAGTGATGAAATTGTAAAGTATTTTCTAACATAATTACCTCATATTAAAATCATTTTCAACCCATATATATATATTACATATTTAAAAATAATTTAATTTAGAGTAAAAAATTGCCATTTATTGAATAAAATATTTACTAATTATATAAAATTGTACTATTATTATCAAAATATAATATTATTATTCATGACTCAATGTCGGAGTCGCTGTCACATTCAACATCTTCTGGCTGAATTGGAGGGCTATTTTGGCAGTTATCTCCACTGCACGTACTGCACAGGTACTATTACAAAACAGACCAACTTTTCTGCATCCGCAAGACGCTCCACATCCTTTTTTGCATTTGCAAAAAATCGTTTTCAGCAGTTCTTGTGGTGCGGGTGGATCTACAGACTTAAGTGGATTTAATAAACCGTCATTCATGACCCACCCCCAATCCGTTGGATGAGTGATGATGACGATGAAATGATGAAATGTGTTATATATACATATAAGAACGTTGGTATGTATTCATGCCTACGTTTCCAAAATATATGAGCCATATTATGTATATATATACACATTACAATAGTTGTGGGTCTCTATTATACTGCGTACTTTCACATTGCTCCCAATATTCACACTCCGAAATTTTCAGTTACTAAGAAGAAAAAAATCCTTCTCTTTATAACTCCTTAAATTTTCATGCTATCACAATTTATGTAAAACCATTGTAAAGGTAATTAAGAGAGCTACAACTTCCTTCATTGCAATATATATTAAAAAACCTTTTTCTTAAACGGTGAAGGGTTAAAGGGCTTAAGAGAGGCTGTGATTGCGCTGCCACGCGCTCTTTAAACAATAATATCTCCGTCAATTTTATTTTGACAGTAAAAACAAAAAAACCAAATTTTTTGTCAGAAAAATACCTAAATTTTTAAATCGTACACTTTTATACTTGTCGTCATTTTTGAGATATTATGAAAAAAAAATGGGTTTTTTAGAAATTCGAAATTTTGGTTTTTCTTTTAATCGTGACTTTTTTGAAATATACTATCTATCAAACTCTTCATAATAAAGTTAATTCTAGGCGGAATACGATTAATTTTAATTTTGGTGGAAATGGCACTTATGAAACCCATTGATTTAAAAGAAAAAACATTAGATGCTCTCCTTATTTGCAATACAGCTCACTTATTTTACGTGCAAAAGACTTTTAATAGTGCTCATTTTAAAGCTTATTTCAAGCACTACAAAATCCTTTTGTATTAGAATGCATAAAATGCATCTGCTCGCCGCTAGATGGCATTGACCACATCGATTAAATTTCAGACAAAATAAAAAACGGCTTTGATCTTTAATATCTAGCTTAATATTGCACTTAGAATACTTTATAAAAAACCAAATTGTTCATTGTTTTACCTGCTACAATTTTGTTCTTTATAAAATTTTCGATAAAACTTATATTTTTGGAGATATTTGCAAAAAACCGATGAAAAACGGGAAAAACTTTCGAATTTTCTATTGCCAATATCTTGAAAAGTATTGGATTTTTTGAAACACTTTATAGATGTTTTTTTGCTTAAAATTAGGCTTTTTATCGATATCCGAGGTTATTTTGAAAAAAAAATAATTCACCCCCGAGAAGGGGTGGCAACCACCCCCCCGGGTGGTTGCGGAGTTCAAATCATTTTCACTTTTGAAGTTAAGGGTAAGATGAACCTAATTCCAAAATTGTATGCAATTCGGTTCACAGTAAAAAAATTCGGAGAAATAATGCTTCAATGACTGCACTAATGGTGAAGAACATGGTCTCGTTTTCTAATCAAGGACAGATCTTTATATGTGTAGTGTACATTAGTCCCAGTGCCACAGATGATATTTATTTTGATTGATTTTGTAAATAAGATGTCCTATGTACTCGTAACTTGAAAGGTCAAGTCATAATACTAGGTGATATTAATTTGAATAGTGCCCTTAAAATGTCAATAATTATTATTATTATTTTTTTCCGTTTGTGGTTTGAAAGAGATGAATGATATTTCTAATTTGCATGGAAGTAAGCTGGATGTGGTTTTGATCCAGGAGTGCACTGATGTAACAAAGGTTAGTTTATCTGAATTTGGTGGTATTGATTCATCATCCCTCATCCATCACCTCTTGATTTATATCATCCCCCGTTAGATATCAGTATGAAATTTGAAAGGCATCATATATTTTTTTTAAGTTGAACCCAGTAATAGAAATACTTCTAAAGATTGGAATTTAATATGGCAGACTACTCAAAAATTAAAGAGTGGCTCATACACATTAACTGGGGCATTGTCACAAAATCGAAAGTTAACAGTACTGCTACAAATAATTTTTATAAAATATTGTAGTGTCTTCGATATTTCAGTTCCCAAAAAATTTGGCCGAATAAGTCAACTAATTACTATCCACTATGGTTTGACAGTGATATTATTCATGGTATCAAACTTAAAACAAAATTGCATCGTGCTTGGAAACAACTAAAATCAGATATTCGCAAATCATTTTCCGAAATAAGAGCCAGCCTTAAAAACCGCATGAGCAAGGCTTATCAGTCTTATAAGCAACTTATTGAGAGTAATTTAAAAAATTAACCTCAAAAGATCTGGCAATATATTACTAACCTTAGGTCAAATGCAGCATTACAACCTGAAATATATTACAATAATTTTTCCTATAGCGGAGCAGGGGCAGCTCAAGCTTTTGCAGAGTTCTTTTATAGTGTATTTTTACCTGAAAATCTTAGATGCCGATAATATAACGGCAACAACCAGTCCATTAATCACTACTTATATAAATATTTTAAACATTAATTAGGATGACGTTAAACGAGCAATCAATAAGATAAAAGTGGATAGTTCTTCCGGACCTGCTTCTGTTCAACCCTTGTTTCTTAGAATGTTTAAGAATTATTTGATTTCCCCTTTATACCATATTATAAATACAGCAATCCATACTGGTGAGTAGCCCACTCAATGGAAAATGTCACGGGTGACGCCTATCCCAAAGTCTACTGTCGCAGATTATCGTCCCACAGCGGTGTTACCTGCTCCTGCAAAATTATTTGAGCGCATTATTCACGAAATGAAATATATAACCAAATCAACGTATACCTTTGCAACGAACAACATGGTTTTAGGAAAGTAAAATCTGTTGATTCCAATATGGTAACAATAGTAGATTAAATCTTAAAAAAGTTTGGACAATGGATCTGAAGTCGATGTTGTATATTTTGATTATCAAAAAGATTTTGGTCGATAACGATTTTCTCTTAGGAAAACTTAAAAGTATCGGTCTTGCTCCGCGGCTCCTTCATTTAATTTTAAACTACCTTCGAGAGCGCTAACAATTTGTAAAACATGGGTGCTACACGTCAAGCTTTACCATACACATTCTGGAATCAATCAGGGTTCAATACTAGTTCCGCTTCTATTTTTGATCATAATGAATGATCTCCCCACAGTCATTAGAAATGCGAAATGTGTTATGTACGCTGATGACTTAAAGTTGGCATTTGAAATAAAGCCTAAATCAGACTGCGAACTACTGCAAAATTACATAAAATCCGTATTTGAATGGGGTGAGGTAAACAAAATGGTCTTTAATTTGGGAAAATGTTGCGTCATGACCTTCGGATGAAAGATGTCAAAAACGCGTCATCAATATACACTAATTGGTCAAAATATTATGCGTGTGGAATCAACCAAGGATCTAGGAGTAATATTTAATACCAAACTTACATTTCACGATCATATAATATCTCTGGTGAAAGAATCCTTTAGACGTCTCGGTTTTGTTCTTCGGAATTGTCGCGAATTTAAGAAACCACAATTATAATTTTATTTATTTTGACGTGACAACGTCTTAAATTAGGTTGCGGCTGGGAGTCACTTATGAAAAAGTGTAACGCTCGGTAACGTTACGATGAGTCTCTCGTGTTAAGTTTAAGTTTACATGTACAATGTTTTAGTAAACAAAATATATTTCTATAGTTAAAATTTGTGCAATTCTTATTTTCATTCAATTCCTTGTTCCTATTGTGCAATTTAATTATATTCATATCAATAAATATTCTACCGAGAAAAAGACGTTGTCACGTAAAATCTTCGCCCGTAAAACCGACTTTACAGGCAACCATTTTTTTTAAGCATTTAACTGCTAGATGTTTAAATCTAAAGAAAAGTTTCCTAGAAAAAAATCCACGCGGACCAGGCAGCGGACGGGACTCGAACCCGCATCCTTAGCTATCCGGGCGAATGCACTGACCATTATGCTACCACGGCCCTATTAGCCGCGTCGAAATTTTCCCAGCCTTAAGCTGTAAGGCAGCGCCATCTCATTGTAGGTAACCCACAATGTCAAATGGATACTTTTTCAAGTATTTAAATTCTTTACTATGCACTTGTCCGCAGTAAACTTGAAGCCGCGAGTTGCGTGTGGCACCCCCACCAAAGCACATATATCATGTTGCTTGAGAAAGTTCTGAAGGCATTCCTAAGATATCTTTATAAACGCATATATACTTTTACCCACACCTCTGTATTTCTCTTAGGCACTCTTGGCTTACTCTCTTAGGGCGCATAGGACAAAGAACTAACTATCGATTGGCATCAAAATATTTCATGGTAGCATTAATGATCCAGATCTACATAATGAATTTAGGGTCTTAAATCTTAATTTACGTTTCAATTTTACGTTTTACCATCTACAATTCTAAGAATAGTGGGCCTATTCGGGAATTGTTACTATACCGCCATTTCGCACGGAATAACAGAGCTATTCCTAGAATAATGTAATGGCGTCAGTCAGTTCAATCATCTGATTTCTGTCATTTCACAAATATTTATTCTGTGTTTTAATTTCAAGTCAACGCAACGCTTAAACTAATAGTCTGGCATTGTATTATGTAACGTTTAAACAATTAGATTTATGATAGTGATAAAGAAAAGACTTATTTGAATATTATGATGACCATAATTTTGCGATGTTTCGTTTGAGCAAAGAAGCCACTTGTGTTTCTGCTATCGAAAATTGAACGTAACTTGGAATATATTTCGGACCGGTAAGTGTACATTCTTTATACCTGTGTAGCTTTTTTTGCGCCGTTTTAAGTGCACTCTGACCGTAGATAGTGCCGACGTTACTTTATTTACCTGCCTACGTAGGTACACTAGCTTACACTACAGCTACTTTTTCACACTATAATACGGCAAAATGGAGTTGACATGGTGTATGCTCTTCACTATTCCTTTGTAGAACATTTATTTGCCGGGTTTTATTTTTTTCACCATTCACTCTGCTATTCGCGTATTGTTATTCCTAGTGCAAGTATACTATCAATTACGTGGAGAAACGACTATAAATAAATAAATCCACCCTTAGTCGGTTGTACGTTCCTGACCGATATACGCGGAACCGACCTAAACATCCGCGTCGTCTCTTCGCACCACCGTTTGTCCGCACTGTGACTCAATCTCCTCTTTGTCGCATTATGACTCTACTTAATGCACTCCTGGCTGATAAGCCCGAGTGTGATAATATGTATGCAGATGGATGGAATAAAATATTGTATGGCTGTTTATTGTTTTGCAAGAAAAATGAGTGTGAATCCTCATGTTTGTAATTCATTTGTTTTTTTTTTTACTAATTGCTGTAAATGGTATTACGCCGTGGATATTACAAAGAAAGAAAGAAATAAAGTAGTCTTATGCGAGTTAATAACGTTCTTTTTATTTAAGCCAAATAATGGAGTGTAAATACCATTGAAGACTTGCATTTTAATAGTAGAAAATAATTCATCAATTTACTTCATAGACTAGAGTATATATATATATGTTACCGGCCAAACCCGATTTCAGGACAAACTAGTTTTGCCTAGGCTAAACTGGTTCTTCCTATGCGCGATAGGATTAACTAGTATAGCCTAGTCCAAACTAATTTGTCCTAAGCCCGATAGGATAAACCAGTTTAGCCTAGGCCAAACTAGTTGATCCTGATAAAAATACGCATACTCTAGGATAAACTAGTATGGCCTAGTGTAAACATTATAGTATATCTAGAAAGTCAAAATAAATAGATAAACTGAATAAAATAATCCGTAATTGGAAAAATAATATTTTTTATTAAAACCATAATGATTCATCGTTACAAGTTATGGATAATTAGTAATACAAAGAAAAGTAAGAAAAGTTTAATTTTTCTAGTAAACTTTTCTTTAGATTTAAACACCTAGCAGTTAAATGCTTAAAAATAAATAAAAACACTAACTATAATTGCTATTTCTTCTTTCAAATGTTTAATACTTGAAAAAGTATTCATTTGACATTGTGGGTTGCGTGGTTGCAACCTACAATGCGAAGAGATGGCGCTGCCTTGCAGCTTAAGGCTAGGAAAATTTCGACGCAGCGAATAGGGCCGTGGTAGCATAATGGTCAGAGCATTCGCCCGGATTGCGAAGGGTGCGGGTTCGAGTCCGGTCCGCTGCCTGGTCTGCGTGGTTTTTTTTTTCTAGTAAACTTTTCTTAAAATATTTTGAGTTTACAGTGAGATGAATTGTAAAAGGTTCGAATGATTCGGAATTTCTTAAGCCGGGTAGTTACTCATTGGCGAGCTGTAACCATAACCGTTGCACGCACTGTAACCAAAAAGCATAGTGTGTACGTGGTTCGATAACCTGCTGCGAGAACGGTACGCGTGCGGTTTGAAGCGAGCCAACGTTCACAACTGAGCTACTAGCGTACACACTAGAACTTCGTACTGTATCACGCATGTTACGGTAACAGATCGCTAATGCGTACCCGGCTTTACTGTCTTCCGAACTCCCGGCAACAACAAAAGAGTTAAACAAAAACCAATTACAGAAAAAACACTCCCTCCACTTTCTTCCAGCGTTCTTTTTACATGACGCGCCCTGTACAAGTCCTGACATGTTTGTTCAATTACTTTCCGCTTTGCTAAATTGGTTTAGACTAGGTCGTACTAGTTTATCCTAGAGTGTGCGTATTTATATCAGGATCATCTAGTTTGGCCTAGGCTATACTGGTTAATCCTATCGCGTATAGGAAGAACCAGTTTAGCCTAGGCAAAACTAGATTGTCCTGAAATCGGGTTTGGAAAAGTTTATATATATATACATATTTATATTTTTATGACTATTAAGATTTTGAATAAAAGACTACTTACTCTTTTGTGATATTTTTCATAGTGATGGTCTTCTTGTGAACCATTTTGATGACTTCCCATCTTGATGACAGCTGAAAGCATAACATAAAAATATTGAAAGAATTTTTTTCACTCGATTTTTCATTACAATAAGATATAAAACATTGAATTAATAAACATTAAATTTTAAAAAGTAAATAGGTTTTTCAATAAAAAAAAGCAGTAGTAATTTCTGATTAGCCAGATCAAAAGCAATTAAAATTACATTAATCAGCTGAAGGTTTTGCTCTAACTAACTTACTTTTACTGATTGATAATAAGCAAGCAAGAAACAATAAACCTAACAGAACAGATATAAAGCTCTACTGTAATCTATTATATTAGTAATCAACAGAAATTGTAAATTTTAAAGGCTATTTATTTATGTATTACCTTTCTGTTCGTCTCGCCTACGCTTTTGTTCTAATATGGCAGTTTCTTCAGTGCGGTCCTGAAATGCAAATTTACAACTTGTTTAGGCACTCCCTATATCTTCCATAATCTAATAATGCGGCAATTTGTGTTCATAGTAAATGAGAAATAAATAGCAGATCAGAATTGACACATTGGTTTTTTATTTAGTAATAAAAGACGCGTTCTATTTTGTTTCGGTATAGGGCACGTGAGATCAATAGAGTGTAAATTTGTCAATCGTTTGCCACAACTCTTGTGTATGCAATACTAGTGGCCTGCCCTCGCTTCGCTTCGGTGTAAAGCTGTCGTGTAGACTATAGTTTTTGTTCGCAGGTATTCTATTTATGCGTTTTTTTTTTTTTGGTTAAACGCGCTAATCTCAGGAAATACTGGTTAGATTTGAAAAAATCTTTTAGTATTGGATTGTACTCTTCTTAAAGGTGTTCGGATCGCTAATAGTTCTGTTTGTTAGGCAAGTGCAACTAATAAGAAATGATAAGGTAGCATAATTCTCGACTGGCCGCTGATACATTCATCATACTACTAACAAATATCACATTTTTTATACCATTTTTTCTTTCAATTTCACTCATAAATGACGCGAATGTCTGTTACATGCGAGCCGCCACAGTGTGATCGGCGAGTTTATTGCACTTTTTTACCCCTCCTGCTTGATCGCAGTTTGCGTGGAACCACTTTTTATGGCAGATTGTGTTCTTATTATCATTTCTTATTCATTGTTAGCAAGGAATAAAATCAGATAGATTCCAAAATATTTTACTTGTGTCTGGTCAGTTTTTAATATTATATAGTCTAGTTGCACTGTGTTTGAAACAGTTAACCTTTAATTATGTGGTCTAGACTAGGCTTCCTAATAAGAGCCCTTCACGTTCCCGTTTCTACTGGGCATATGACAAACAAGAGTCCAATTTGCCCAACGGTGCAGGGACATCATGCTGGGGATGTGAATGATAAAACTAATAAATGATCGTATCTATCAAACCTAACAAATTATCAGATTAAAAATTGTTAAGTTTGCTGAGCAAAACAAACAAGAAGATCACTCAATTAAGTAGAAGATACTCACCCTCTTTCGGCTCATCTTACGCTCTTTACGTTCGTCTCCTCTAACCTTAGCTTTTCGTTTTTCTTTTTCAGGTGAACGTTCCTCTATCTCTTTGTTACCCTGCTTATGCAGAAAATAAATATTAATATAAAAAATACTTTGCTAACCCGATATTTTTAAGCAGTCTCATAATGAAAATACACAATATAAAATTAAGAAATTGCACCAATCAAAAGGCTCACAAAATGAAGATAAATCAGGGTATGTTTCTCAGTGATATTGTTTCTTCCTCTTAATGGTTCAATATAACTTCAGTGTTTACAGTTTTGCAGTTGAATGGTTCTCTTCTAGCTTCATGTTAAAATTACTATCTTCCCAGTTTAGCTTCTTCTTTAAATGTGCAATTGAATGCAATGGATTCATTCTTCTTCTTCTGCTGCTGATATTTTTTCTTACTTCTGATCTTGTGACTGTCGTTCATAATTAAAATATATGATGTATCTTGGACCTTCCTTTCATAATCTAGTCTCCTCTCTCCAAATCCTATTGCTTTCTCGTGTCTTTTCTTTTCTTCTTCTTCTCAAGATGTTGAACCCTAGATTTATACATCATTTAATGAAACTTTTGATCTGTTGTTATTGAAATCAAGTGACAAATCTTACCAGATATAATTTGGACTGGGCTGAATGGACTTAAAGACTCACAACACGCATTGGATTTCTTATAATCATTATTTAAATGTCCGAAAAAATATTATTATTATTATCCTCCGCATTAGTCACTGCCCCTCTCTTCTCTCCCCTTTTCATCTTCATTGACTTGTCAATGTCTCGTAGTTTTTTCTTTCTTCTTTTTCTCATTCTTCATCGTTTTCTTGTTATTCTTAGTGGATATTTTTGAATGGTTAACATTATTTCTTCTGATTTATGTTGAGTCTTCCATATGATTCTTGACAAATAGTTCTTCATTAGATTTAATAAATTAAGGAAATTGAGAAAAATATCTTCATTTATCATCCAATATTATGAAATGTATTAACCAAACTCCAATTATTAAGTAGATAAGTTTCAATTGCAGATTGTAATCATCTTCAATACCATTTTGAACATTATAATAATTGATAGAGAATCAGCTTTATTCCGTAGAACAGTCTTCTTTCTTTGATCTTCTTTGGTTTATTGCGTAGATAGATTTTTATTTAGATTTAAAGTTGATTTATTATCACAATTAATTAACACTTGAGTCTCTCTAGTTCGTATCACGCACGCGAATCTTGTTCGAGTCCCGTCGTAGATGGTGGCGGTGTCGTTGTATCGCGGTACGTTTTGAGCGCACGCGTCGCGGTCTTGGTCCAGCCCAATCCTCAGTCCGGTGCTAGCGCGATGCAAGGCCGATTTATCACAACGATACTCACCTTGCCATTGCTGCTGGTTTCAACTTTACGACGCTTCACGTCTGAAACAAACAATCAGCATCATCAGCCTATTAATATCCCCACCACGCGGGCCCAGTGCGGATTGGTGGGTGCCAACGACTGCAGATGCAGCCGGGGCCAATAGCTTGACGTGCCTTTCGAAGCAGGGAGGAGCTCGAGACAGTGAATTTTAGGTCACCCATCCAATGACCGACCACTGCGAAAATTGCTTAACTTCAACGATCACAGCCGAACGTGGTAACCTCTAGCGCGAGGATTGACTTCTATACCTATCTATTTTGTGCTTAAGGTGAATTTTCATTGAAGCTGCGCGAAGATGAGTGGCTAAGTTGAGAAAAAGCTGCCCTAATTGAACCGAACGAAACTATGAAATGTAAGTAAACAGGGTGGAGCTGAGTGAACAGACATTGATTGACACTTTTGTCCGCGGAGGACAAAAGTCCCCGAATCGGGAAAAGTGTCTGCCGAGGACTTGTCACGGACTCAACGCACACGGTGTGCGGACATTTGTTGTCTGGAAATTTAGAGAAACGTATCGTACGCTCCCGAATTATTCTTTTGTTGAAGCAAATATTCTCCCATTACGTTGAGTGGTAATTGGTCCATCCCCTTATATCGGATCGAACGCGCAACGCAAACTAAAGTTTGCTGTGTCCGTTACTGCGTCTAGTCACATGGATTCCATTTTTGTTCGGGGACTCCCGCGAACAAAAATACACGCGACAGACATAGATCAAAATAGAAATCGTAAGTGTATGTACAAACACGGTCACGGGCGCGTGAACAGCTCTAAGGCGATTTTGCCATGCACTCGTTTTGTACGATTCGTTAGTGGGCGGGCTCTCGACTTTTTATGGATGAACAGCAATAGCTCTGTTGTGTTGTGATGAATGTATACTCATGATATTACATTTTGTTTGGAATTCGTAAATGATTTAATGAATGTCCTCTTATCAATTACCTACATAATTAAATCCGGAAATAGTTGTAATCGTTCGTGCTATTCACGAAGTAAGAGTTCTGTAGATTATTTAACGACTTATTTATTTATAAGAATCATAACTCCTGAATAATTCAGTGATAGTTTATATGTCATTAACGGCTGCACTCAAAGACGTCAATTAAAGGTAATGCTTCATTAAGCCGCGTGTTGTCTTATTTTGTTTTACCAAGAAATTTAGTTTCTACAAAGAAAGTGACAGCATCAACTTAAATTTAAATTAAAAGTTAATTGGCGTCTCTGAGTACGGCAGCGATTCAGCGCGACCTAAGGGTCTCACAAATTAAATTTTGCCCATTGCTTAGAAAGGGGTTTGTGATTAATCAAGTATAACGCGCGCTCCAATTCAAGCGGGAAATCCGCTATGCCCTACGTCTTTTAAAGGTAAAATAGACGCTGGTAAAAGTAAATACTTAATATATAAAAACTATCATTAATGATATTATGATTTCTCGGTGGAATTGGAGCGCCCGTCTGGAAAAGTAACCTTTTTCTTACAGGAGACCACAGTAAAATGACACTTCCTACCTTTTGGTGTTGTGTTTCTGTTGGTGAGGAGCTCAATGACGCAAGTGGTTAGCGCGTTCGGCTGCGATCGTTGAAGTTAAGCAACTTTCGCAGTGGTCGGTCATTGGATGGGTGACCAAAAATTTACTATCTCGAGCTCCTCCGTGCTTCGGAAGGCACGTTAAGCCGTTGGTCCCGGCTGCATCTGCAGTCGTTAGCACCCACCAATCCGCACTGGGCCCGCGTGGTGGGTCATGGCCCAATCTCCCTATTCCATTTATAGGGAAGGCCTGTGCCCCAGCAGTGGGGAAATTAATAGGCTGATGATGACTCTGTTGGTGAATAAGGTTTTAGGGCTCCACGGGGACGGGGATTGGGTTCAGGCCAGCAAGGTGAGAATGGCTGGAGCGGCACACTTTTCTATCGCAACAGTTATCTTCAGACTTCACTAGTCCCCACTCACACTTAAATATCTGGCTGGGGAGGGGAAATTTTCTGCGCCTTGTATTAAAAAAATAACAAAATATATCTCACTGACTATTAGATGCTAACGCATATATCTTTAGATAGGTATATAGAACCGAAACCACTTGAGTATTTATTCACTGACAAATCTCGAAAACTACTAAAATATGAAGGTGAAATTTTACACGAAAGTAATTAATGATTAGGAATCGTTGCCTAAAAAGGATTTTAGGAAACTTCCTTAAAATGGGGATAAATGTGTATAAATTAAAATTAAATTTTTTAAAGTTGTTAATATCAGAGTTGGTAATTAATTAGGCTACCTAGAAAATTAGAAAATGGAAGTATTTTCTAATTTATACTCTGAGTGGTTACAATGTAGAATCAAAGTTTTGTTCTGCGCGTACGAAGCCGCTGACACAAAGCTAGTACCTATTTTTACAAGAGCATAATAACAATAAAAGAAATAATTATTAAGCTCGTTCTTTTTGAGACTAAAAAGGTTATAGGTTTACTTTAAAAATATAACTACACCAGATTCATGAATTCAATATTAAAATCAAAACCAAATGTGAAATTACGCGTATGATTATTGTTGTTGTTTTATTATTTCTTTATTTGGTCCCGATATCGCACGCGCATCACAGAAATCCCGAGATGTTGCCAAACCGCTGGCTGTAGCTGTGTAGCGGCATAGAGCAACGTCGCGCATAATATTTACTGTCGCACGCATCATTTATAAATGCACCCAGTGCAGCGCTATGCTAATTGGTTATAGTAAAATACTACGACCAATCAGGATGGGCTCGTAAAATCACCCGTCTAGAGCTTGCACAGGAAAAATCTTTTGAAGTGTACACGCACCCGTGACCCCCACTGTACATCACGTGTCAAAAGGGGGACCAGACGTCTTCCATTTCCGCTATTATATTTATTTTTATCACTGTTCTCTGTACGGATGATAGTCGCAATTTTTTTATCTAATTGTGCCATAATAAGCTGTATAAAAGATAGAATTGAAACGGATGGCATGTGCCCATGCTTTTCCACCACTTGCCATCAAAATATAACACACCCGGTTTTCATACAATGCACAGGCGTTGTCTAATATATCTAAGTCAGTGATGACAACGCTCTGCTCTGGAGCTCTATTTTTGAATCACTCGTCTGACATAGTATCGTCGAATGCGACGTAAGTCACCTTCGACTTTCAAGTCGCATGATACTGATTCACCGTATTTTTGAATAGTTCGTCACCGATATTACCAGTTTAATACGAAATATAAAAATTTATTCATTTCACGCAGACTAAATAAAAACCGGTATGAACCGCAATGAAAACGGAACGAAAAATTCTTAGTACATGGCTGTATAATACAATTGTATTTTGTTGTTTATATTACCGGCACTTCACTTAGCTGTTCGTGATTGCTGTTTGTAAACTTGACATGTATAAGCCGTCATGCCATAATAAAAGAAGAAGAAACTTGACGTCAACCTACCCTTGTCGTTTCATATAAAGCATGACAAGGATAGATTATCGTCGTCTAATAGCAAAATGAATAGCAAAGTAAAATGCCGGCATTTGAAAAATTCAAACGTCACAACACTCATTTCAAAACAGTTTCAGTTTATTTTACCGTTCGACGCAAGGCGAGTGATTCAAAAATAGAGCTCCTTGCCATCTTAACACAGCGGGCTAGAGGCATTTGTATATAACTTCCCAACTCCGCTAATACTGTTTTATCGAAAGCGGAGCCAAGATGAGATGTGTATTTTGAGCAATATCATTGGTCAATTTATTTAAGTCTTCGCTCAGCTGCGCTTCTGTGGAAGCGCAACTTTACGCCTGCTTACTAAAATGGTTGCAATGCAAACAACTACGTTAAAACTCTTACCTCGATCTATGTCGTCGGGTAGGTGACGATGATCATGCGGAGGTGAAACAGTTTCCAAATAACGTTCCTCCTGTTTAAAACAACGTTATTATTATTTAAGATAAAAAAAGTATATTTTTTTTTTAAAAGTAATAACTAAAATAATTACCCTATGACTTCTGTCTCTAGGTGACCTTTCTTTGCCGCGAACTTCATCTTTATTACGCTCCTTGACAGATCTATACAATAATGAATTAATTTTAGTTCTCGATCCATTTATAATAGGAAATCAATACCAAACATTTTTGATAAATAAAAATATAATTGCTTACCCCCGTGATTCACGTTTTATTTCTTTGTCGCGTTCTACCTCATCTTTACGCTTATCGTTACTACGAGTTTCACGTTTCTCATCTGAAAAGCAAAGCAATATTACGAAATACACACTTCCGTTTGTTTAGCAATAAAATTTAATTATCCTGTTGATCACTATCACAAATATTAAAAGATTATTGAAATACGCCTTTGAAGTATAAATTCCAATATTTTTAAAATCCTCGTGTCACGGTGTGCGTAATAGGGATGATGACTATTTTTTTTTTCTTCGTTTATCAGGTAGATTATCAAAAAGTATTGGACACGTATTTTTTCTTTTTTCACATAACATAAACATTGCAGAGATATATTGATTTGAAAAGTCGCATGACGTCACGTTTGAGTACACTTATAAGTGAAAATTCACTCAAAAGTGACGTCACGAGCCCCTACTCCCAAACTTTGACGCGCTATAACTTTCTCATTTTTTGGTTGATTGCCCAAAGAAAAAATACGTGTCCATTATTTTTTAATCATCTAACTGACGGACTATTTAGTCCGTTTATATAGAAATTAGAAATTAAATAGAATTTCGTTTACTGTATACCCCGTCATCACCCCTATTGAACTACTCCGAAACGGTTCGACCGTTATTCGTGAAATTTTATATGCATACTAGCGGCCGGTCCCGGCTTCACACGGGTGTATTAAATACTATGTAAATATAATGAATCAGCATTTATATCTAAACTTCGACTTTTTATTGGCTGCAGTAAAACGACGTTTCAAAATGTCATTCCGTAAAATAATGTTGATAGCCTTATTTCAATAGGGATGTGCTTAGGTTCACAGAAAATCTAATCGTTCCATAAGTAACTCATAATGATCATACTTAATTCTATTTATTATTCATATAAATAAAAGGCTGTATAAAATCTCAAGTTGGTACTGGTTTTTAGTTACGGTGCTACGATGACGCTTGTCCGCCATTTTATTTTACTTGTCATTCGCTCATTCGGCTACTAACTTCTATTTTGAGTGCACGAATAACTTTGCTTTGCCCGCTGCGAGTTGTTTTAGTTATCTGTATTGTTAAATTTTTGTTACGTTGTGTTTGTTTTTCGTTACCTACTTATTTTTGTTAATCGTGTCAGCTTCATGGATGCTCAGTTGAGCACATCACAAGATGGCGATACATTTTATCTCCTAAGAAAATAAGGCCACGTGTAGCTCTAAGTGCAACCGAGAAACTTTGGGTCAGAAACGTTTAAAAATATGTATTTGAAGTGAAATCTACAGAATAAAAACATTTAAGTTCCAAAAACAAGTGAATGCGTCAACAAGGTGGCTAAGTCTTGGGAATACCCGTCCGCACTGTTTATTCCGTTTTAAAGGAGCACAAGGAGAACGACTGTGAATCACTAAAACCTCTCAAAAACTCTGGCCCAAAACTTACATTTAAAGAAAAACTTGATGATTTCACATTCACCGCTATTAGACGAATTGTACATCAGTTCTGTCATAGAAATGAAGTACCTACCATCGCAAAGGTTAGTTTACCTGTCATCACTAATCTTATTATTATTCGTTAGGTATAATATATTTTCTCCTACCCCATGTGAAATTTTAACCAATTAGGTAGTAATAAGTTAATAATTTTTAGGTGCTGCAAGTTGTAAATGATGACTCAGAATTGCCCAACTTCTCGAAAGAGACATTGAGAAAAATTATGAAGCATCTTAATTTCAAATTCGCTACTCGATCACGCAAGAGCGTACTTATTGATAGACAAGATATCATATCATGGCGTCAGCGCTACCTGCGTTTAATTAACCAATATCGTAGGGAGGGAAGATACATAAATTATCAAGATGAGACCTTGGTCAACGCTGGTAAGTGGCAACTCTTAGTTTGCTATGTTTGATCCCCTTTTATTTAGATGTCGAAACATATGATTATTTTTTGTTCTTTCAGGTCATACTACAAAAAAAACCTGGACTGGTGGAAGTATAAAATCTTCTCGGCAGGCATTTTTAAACGGTCTAACTACGGGATTAAAAAATCCCACAGGAAAGGGCAAACGACTCATAATCAGTCACATAGGCGGGGAAGAAGGCTTCCTGGACGACGGACTTCTTATGTTTAAAGCAAGGAAAGGTACAGAAGAGTACCATAATGCAGTGTTTCGAGGAGTGGGTTCGACGGCATTCTACCCAAACTCAAGCCGAATGCAGTAGTCGTAATGTACAACGCGCCCTATCATTCTAGGAAGATCGAAACAATCCCAAAGATGTCGTGGACGAAAGCAAGAATTCAAGAGTGGCTGACCACTAAAAATATTACATTTGAACCAAATATGGTGAAGGCCACTCTCATAGATATTGTGAAACAACAAAATAATACTGAGAAATATGCCGTGGACGAGATTGCTGAAAAAGGTATCAGACTTTTAAGACTGCCCCCTTATCACTGTGAATTGAACCCCATCGAGTTGGTTTGGGCTCAGGTAAAGAGGCACGTCGCGAACAATAATAAAACATATAAAATGCAAGAAGTGAAAACTTTATTCCAAGAAGGAATCAACAAAGTGACACCGACTAAGTGGAGTGACTGTGTGTCTCACACTATAAAAGAGGAAGACAAAATGTGCCACCTCAATCATATTATAGACGAAGTGACAGATAGATTTGTCATAAGTGTGACCGGAAGCGATAGTGATTCCGAAAATGATTGATTAATAAATAACATTGTTATGACAATTTTGTTTAATTTTGGATGTACGTCCTTATACTTCCACTGAAAAAGATCAATCCTTTACTAAAGTAATAATAATAGTATAAAAAAACATTACAACTTAAAATTAAATCTCTAAAATAAAACCAAACTGATCACTCATTTATTGAATGATTCACTTACTCACTTAGCTACATCCCTATTTATTTTTCTTCAAAAAGCGGTAACCCACAAAACGTCATTTTACTGCAGCTAATAAAAAGTTCTACTTTAGAATACAAAGAAAAATTAAGAACAAATAAACAAAAGGAAACAGTGGAAGAGCTTTTCACTATATAACGAAAAAACAATTTTACAATAGCTATACAAACAAATTTGAAGGACGTAAATTCAATGAAAGAAAATTCAGTTCCACACGCATCGCTTAGGGAACCTCGGTTTTCATTCTACGGCATTCAATTTTCGATTTTTTGAAATTTTCGAATACTGCTTACGTCACGTTCTATTGTGTCTTGTGCTTGTTCTTTTTTTTTAACATTGTATTGGTTCTGAAATGAGAGTCTGAAGCCACTTTTTTTATAATTATTTATATAGGTATGGAGCATTACAATGTCACCATCCGTATATTGAATATCTATAGAAATACCTACTATATAGCTGTCCCAGCGAACTTCGTACCGCCATAAAAAATAGGGGTTGGTGGTAGAAGGGTGAAAGTTTAGGGTCGTATGTATTTTTGTATGATGATGGTCCAAAAAAAATTGTTTAAGTAAGGACCACCCTTAACATTTAGGGGGATGAAAATAGATGTTGTCCGATCCTCAGACCTATTGAATATGCATATAAAATTTCACGAAAATCAGTCGAGCTGTTTCGGCTAATAGTTAAAACTGTCTTTATCAGTTATTAATAAAATGTGAAAAAATTATTATTGCACTGGAAATTAATAATAAATTCACGATGAGAGTAAAATTAACGTAATAGATGCACAGAAAAATTAAAATAATACGTATAAGTCACTGCTACGATCGATACACAAATGAAACCAAAAAAAAATGGCCGAAAACTGTATATTGAGGAAGACAGGAGAACGGCTTCCTTCTCATCCCTACTCCGTGATGTTTGCTGGATGAGAGGTGACCCAGGTAAACATCTAGCGGGGATAACTGATTGATTGATCGTTGATCGGTTATCGACCGGTGAAGGCGGAAGATCAAATTGAATTGAGAAAAAAAAAGAAATTCTTAAAAATAAAAATCGCGATGGTAAAATAGGGGTTGATTGTAAAGGGTTGAAAATTCAGGGTTATATGTATTTACTAATGCTGTATCACATTTTTGAAGTTATACTTCTTTAGGCGCGTTATGAAAAAATGATGAGAGTGAAATTTTAAGATGCGCGCGCATCACTGTAACACAAAATTTTAACATAATGAAGTTGAACTTCGTGCGTTACTTTTGTGTTTACCGCACAATAAGAAAATCTACAACAAAATAGAAATAGAATCTCTATTTAATGGGTGCTAATGACTGCATTGTGAAGGCCTATCAAAAGTATTTATTAATCAGGAACAACGGAACCAAAGCGCGATTCAGGAGACTACAGCGCCATCTCTTGACCATTGGTGTAGTAGAACCAAAAACCACATCTTTATTTTTTGTAATAAAGTAACAAAAAGTATTTATTAATCTGGAACAACGAAACCAAAGCGCGATTCAGGAGACTATAGCACCATCTCTTGACCATTGGTGTAGTAGAACCAAAAACCATATCTTTATTTTTTGTAATAAAGTAACAGTTATAGGTATTCATATTTATAATATTTATCCACATGTTTCTAGTTTGTATATTCGGAATACGTGTTTGAGTTTCATACAAGTGCAAATCACATATGTTCTAATAAATTATATTCAGTAGCGATTTTAATTGAATATTTTGATTATTTATTTATTTTTTCAAATTAAAACTGAACTTTATTGACTGTGTCCTTTTCCAGACTTTTTATTAATTTATTGTAATTAATTATTGCATGCAATTAAAAACTAATTTTAAACGATGCCAAAGAAGGATAACTTCTCACGCGCCTACATAAGTACACGCACCCATTTTTTTTTATCTAAAATTAAAAAAAAAAATTTAGGGGTGGATTACCCTTAACATTTAGGGGGATGAAAAATAGATGTTGTCCGATCTGTCCCAGCGAACTTCGTACCGCCATAAAAAATAGGGGTTGGTGGTAGAAAGGTAAAAATTTAGGGTTGTATGTATTTTTGTATGATGATGGTTCAAAAAAATAAAGAAAACAATTGTTGTTTAAGTAGGGACCACCCTTAACATTTAGGGGGATGAAAAATAGATGTTGTCCGATTCTCAGACCTATTGAATATGCATATAAAATTTCACGAAAATCGGTCGAGCCGTTTCGGCTAATAGTTAAAACTGTCTTTATCAGTTATTAATAAAATGTGAAAAAATTATTATTGCACTGGAAATTAATAATAAATTCACGATGAGTCACTGCTACGATCGATACACAAATGAAACAAAAAAAAAATGGCCGAAAACTGTATATTGAGGAAGACAGGAGACCGGCTTCCTTCTCATCCCTACTCCGTGATGTTTGCTGGATGAGAGGTGACCCAGGTAGACATCTAGCGGAGATAACTGATCGATTGATCGTTGATCGGTAATCGACCGCTGAAGGCGGAAGATCAAATTGAATTGAGAAAAAAAGAAATTCTTAAAAATAAAAATCGCGATGGTAAAATAGGGGTTGATTGTAAAGGGTTGAAAATTCAGGGTTATATGTATTTACTAATGCTGTATCATAATTTTTTTTTATCTAAAATTGAAATGAAAAATTTAGGGGTGGATTACCCTTAACATTTAGGGGGATGAAAAATAGATGTTGTCCGATCTGTCCCAGCGAACTTCGTACCGCCATAAAAAAATAGGGATTGGTGGTAGAAAGGTGAAAATTTAGGGTTGTATGTATTTACTAATGCTGTATCATAAAAAAAAATAAAAAAAATATATCTAAAATTGAAAAAAAAATTAGGTGTGGTTTACCCTTAACATTTAGGGGGATGAAAAATAGATTACATCCGATTCTCAGACCTACTGAATATACATATAAAATTTCACGAAAATCGGTCGAGCCGTTTCGGAGGAGTTTAACCACAAACACCGCGACACGAGAATTTTATATATTAGATTCAGTAGGTTTGAGAATCGGACAACATCTATTTTTCATCCCCCTAAATGTTAACCCTTCATTTTTTTTTGTTTTTATTTTTTATGATACATCATACAAAAATACATACAACCCCAAATTTTCACCCTTCTACCACCAACCTCTATTTTTTATGGATGTACGATGTTCGCTGAGACTGCTAGTTATGCTAAAAATATTAAAAACATGTCCTGTAGTATTTTTTTATCTTACGAAAGCTAATAGGAAAATCTCCTCTGGCTAAATGAGTTATACTCTTCTACAACATTTTATATCAATCGTAGGTTTGAGTGATAGCAAATATGTCGTGTGCTTTTAATAAAAAGAAATGGTAAAACTTACCTGGTATTTGTTGTGGGGAAGCAGACTCTTGCTCCTGTTTAGGTGCTTGTGGTTCCTCCTTAGGTGCTACGGTTGGTACTGCGTTCGCTGCGTTTACAACCTTGTGTTTATCACCCACCTAAAGGACGATTAGATTATATTATAGTGAGGGACTGGTGTTGGATCTGTTTTTGGGTCTGGAGAATGATGTCAGAATGGATATGAATATGTACCTACCTAATATTAAGTTTTGTGGTTTTGAAGTATTTATATTAGGTTACCTTATTTTGTTTATCGTAAGTCTACTTCGTAAGTAAATTTTTACGCATGCAGTGGCAGCCATTTAGTAAGGCAGCACTAAGAATTAATAATAATAATATTAATTTAGAATTGTTTTCTTTATTTCTTTCTCACTTTGTATTGTTATTTGGTGTTTGTTTTGTTGGCTGTACTTAATAAATAAATAAATAAACAGTAGTTTAATTAGCTTCACATTCAAAAATCTTCAAAATAAAAAATAGTTTATTCAATTGAAGCCGTTACAAGCTCTCATGAATGTCTAGAAGCTACGCCATGGGTTCGCATATCTATGACGGGAGATCTTGTACGGAAAACCCCCCATTTTACCCCTCAAAGCATGATTTGTTATTATTATATCATTTAAATTTATTATTCTAAGGCGGCCTTTAGACCTACAATAACATCGTGCAATACTTTTATTGTACAATAAATTTTAAAGGTGCTCTGAATCCAAACGAGGAATTATATTGCACAATAATAGGAACTGCACAATGTTTTCATGTTCAGTCAGAGAATACTGAATACCTGTGGAAACATCTCTTTGTATTTAGACAACAATAAATAAATAAAATAAATGTTTCGTAAGCAAGGTTTTTTTATCACGGTCATGATATTCTTTGCTCTTGACATTCCACAGAGATGTCAGGCAATTCTCTGAACAGTTGGATACATTCACAGATAAACTCTCTTTCCTTAACTTTTGGATTCTTTTGTTCCGAAATTTTGCATGCGCGCGTGTACTCCTCATGACAACGAACGACATATTGATAATATGCAATGGAAAAATATGGTGCCATAAAAATTAGACTTGCTCAAACTTTTGGTCAGTTGCGCAATCTTAATATTAACCCTAAACGGTCAATTATATTGTACAATTCGCAATATAATTGACCGTTTAGAGGCCGCCTAACTTTGTCTTTAAAAAATATGTATGTTCATTCAAATAAAGTAACTTAAACTTTGTAAATTAATTTTAAGTCAATTCAAAATTTGCTATAAACTCCACTCTTACACCAATATAAGACTTCTGCTGATGAATCTTGTAATCTACAAATATCTTTGTATGTTGCCGTTTTCAAGACACCAAGAACTATTATGTTTTTATAATACATATCAATAATGACTAGTGAAATTAGCTATCATGTTTTTACATGCATATTTGAGGTAACTTACTTGATGGAAATCACTTTCTCTCATCATGTTAGGAACCTTGTTACGTAATTGACCACTATAACCAGTTGCGAGTACGTACAAATCCTGCCTCTGTGTCTTCTCTTCATCTTTGACCTATAATTCATAATTGAAATGCTCATTTTATCTTTATCAAACACATAGTCATACATCATAGGAAATAATTCAAATATTTTAAGGAAGCCTAGTGTATAGCACTGGTGGTTAGCGCGTTGGGTCTTCGAACGTTGAAGTTAAGAAACTTTCGCAATAGCCGGTCATAGGTAGGGTTACCATCCGTCCGGATTTGTCCGGACATGTCCGGACTTTTTGCCTGTTGTCCGAACTTTGTCTGGCTTTTTAATTTGACCGGTTTTTTTAATTGGATGGAATATGAGTAAAAATACTTATTAAGTTATATCAAATAAGTCAAATAATCTTTATTAAGTTATCATTAATTTAAAACAATATATAAATCATTTTTAAAAATCAACGAGACCCCCCTCGCGATGCGAGTGTCTGCTACCACGCGTATAATATTACTGTAACTAAGTGGGTGATGTTTACATTTTGTGACTAATATGTCCGGACTTTTATCGAAATTCACGGCATTTTGTCTGGGTTTTTCAAATGTTTAAATAGGACCATAGGTGACCAAAAACGGACTATCTTGAGCTCCTCCATGCTTCGGATGGCATGTTAAGCCATTGGTTCCAGCTGTATCTTCAGTAGTTAGCACACAAAAATCCTCACTGGACCCTCCATCCATGGGGAAGGCATTTGCCCAGCATTAGGGGACATTAATGGCTCATGAAGAATAAATAAATATTTCCAACACACACCAATTAGCCTAGCCCCAAAGTAAGCACTGTAAGGCTTGTGTTATGGATGCTAAGGTAACAGATAGAATACATATACAGTACATATATAATTATATTTATATAGAAATACATATTAAACATCCATGACTGGAGTACCAATGCTCGTATTTATCACACAAACATCTGCTCTCACCGGGATTCAAACCCGGGACCTCTCGAGTCAGCGACACCATGAAACCCGGCGTACAAACCACTCGGCCACGGCGGTCGTCAAATAAGAAGAATATAACAACAAATAAACTACATAATAAAATGTACCTTGTCAACTTTTCTCTCGATAATTTGCGCCAGTTTCTCTAATACTGGGAAGTGTGGCAGGACCCGTATTAACACAATCAATGCATTGCGGATTTGTACGTAGTCTCCGGAGTCCAAACACACCACCATAGCCTTCGTTATCTTGTAGTGCCACTTATGACACACATGCCTGTTATGAAATGACTCCCATCAATACAAATCATCATTTATTATCTTTACTGGAAGCTACTTTTCATATAAAAGTATGGTTTCAAAACTGATTTTAAATTACGGCCTCATCCTCAGTTTAAAAATACAATACAATACAAAATTCTTTATTTCCTCAGTTTCATCTTTTCACATAGGACACTCCCGTTAAGTTAAAACAAACCTGTATTGGGAAGAAGTCGCTCTTCAGCTTTTACACTTACATATAGTTAGGTACATACATATAATAAAAATGGTAGGAAAGTCAAAACTGTACATTGAATATTTTTTTAAAAGAATACTTGGGGTGTGATCTACAATCGATACTGAAGCCATAATTATAGTTTTCAGAATTTTTGTCTGTTAGTCTGTATATATGTCCGGGATAAACTCAAAAAGTACCGCATGGGTTTACTTCAAATTTGACACGAATATTATTAACAAGTCGGGCCATATAGGATAACATAATAACAACATATAGGGTACATATTAACACGCTATCACCTACGGGGAACGAGCAGTGAACCTTTATTTCTAACTAACTCCACGCGTACGAAGTCGCGGGCGGCCGCTAGTTAATAAATATAGTTAAATGGTAGGCAATGTTATCTTGATCAATTGCAAAATATACTAATGATGCGACTAATACTACAAAAGTGCAGGCACATTCTTGTCAAAATTACAAGCGTCTGCCGCCCGCACCTCTCACGATCCCCGTTCTCGTCCTCCCCCACACCCTTTACCCCGCAGACGAGGATTCAGTTAAGCGGTCTACCTATAGAAGCATATCTATGAAATTTATGGAGAAATACGAGACAACCATGGTGTTCAAATTCTATAATCATATTTTACTGTGTTATTTAAACATTTTTTCCTTTTATGCACACCAGTTTCTAAATACATACAGTTGTGATTATTAATAATATACATATTTTTGAAACAGAAAAGTTACACTTATACTTTTTAAAATGTGAAATTGATAGTATCGTAATCTGTGCCAAAAATACGGACACATGTGATCAAGCAATGATTCAAAAAACTACAAACGTGTTGTTGGTATCTTATTAATTCAAATTGACTTACTGAAAGCTCTATTGAATTGTCCGAAATTGTACCTAATAATATTGTCCAGAGGAGCTTCATGGATCGGATGGTTAGCGCGTTCGGCTGCGATCGTTGAAGTTAAGCAACTTTCGCAGTGGTCGGTCATTGGATGGGTGACCAAAAATCTTCTCCCTCTAGTTCCTCTGTGCTTCGGAAGGCACGTTAAGCCGTTGGTCCCGGCTGCATCTGCAGTTGTTAGCACCCGCCAATCCGCACTAGGGCCGCGTGATGGGTCATGACCCAATCTCCCTATCCCATCCCTAGGGAAGGCTTTTGCCCCAGCAGTGGTGACATTAATAGGCTGATGATAAATATTGTCCATACCTGTAGTTTTCGTAGCCGACGTGGTCATTGGCCTCAGTGAACTGATTAGAGACGCGGTACTTGGTGACGAAGCCGGGATAGTGCGCGCACTCGCGGTGGAAAGCGGTCTTGTCTCCGTGCCAGCGCATCGCCGTGCCCAACACTTTGCAAAGGAACGTGCCGTAGCGCGCCGCCTCGCCTTCCGTGCAAGACATCACTGAGTACGTGATGTCGCAGAACAACTGCGCGACAAAACGAAAGAGTTTTTAACTATAAGTATTTATTTCGTAGTTTTTTAGGGAGGACTACGGCATCTTGAATTTTCAACGGTCCGCGCGCAACTGCGAGAACCAAGAAGTGCTTGAGTCGTGTTTAAGCACTTCTTGATTGGGACACATTTTGAGCGCACGTGGTGTATCTAGGGTATTTAATATCGTTGGGTTCTTAAGTTAAAATTATACGAAAACGACGACGGCGCCACAGTCAAGGCGCGCACATTCAAACCGGGAGACAGCATGAAATTCGTATACAAAATTTGAATCTCACTATAACAAAGCGAACCAACTCACCCGATCGTAGCACAGCAGCGTGGAGAAGTTGGGCGTTTTGAGCGAGTGCACTGTGTGCACGAACTCGGCGCAGTACAACGCGTCGGTGGCGGTGAACACGCAGCGCGGGAACAGGCACAGCTGCATGAGCCGCGTCACCGTCTCGTTCTTGGCTGACTTGGCGGCGCGCGCGGGGAACCAGCCGCTGCATTCGCGTTGGAGGCGCGCTGATACGCGGGATACGTGCTCTTGTTGACGACGCCGCTCCTCCTGATAAGGAAATACAGTGGATTTCGGGTATAACGACGATGAAGAGACCACTCTAATGTCGTTGTTATATCTGGAAGTCGTTATAGGCAACGGTAATGAGATACAGACACGTACACATGCATAGTTTATATTTATTTATAAACGATTTCCGCCTTTTCTTTAACTGTGAATGTGCGTCTAGCAGCCATACTTATTCAAAAGTTTACTAAACCCAGTTGCTACTCAGAATATCACTTTGTAACTAAATCATAAATTTAATCCAAAACGTACACGCTTCCCTACCTACTTAGCTGATATCAATAAACAAAAGGTATAGGTACACTTGTTGGCCATCTGTGTGGATGTAAACAAAAGAGAAGAAATGTTTGTGAAAGAAAGAAATGTTTCTTTGGCGGCCGACTCCGGTCGCAATATCTGTATGGGATTTCTAGGAATTTGTTACAAATACATCCAAAGACGTTATAGCCACATGAATTTTGTACTTAAGTAGGCTTTAAATTCAAGGGACAAGAGATTAAACGTCGCTATAGGTAAATGATCGCTACAACCAGGGTCGTAATAAATGAAATCCACTGTAGTTGTTTAGAGCCACAGAGCATCCGATCTGTTTCTGTATTTAAATGCAAAGTCGGTGTCTATATATTGTACATTACTGCAGTGGCTAGCAAAAGAGGCATTGATGGACGCATGTATGTGGCCAGTACAGCTGTTTCGATTTATATTGAAGATTGTCAAAATAATGGTAAAATTTTCAAGCATGTTTGGAAATTGCTAATTAATGCGGTCTTTATTTTTTAAGCTAAGACCGAGGTATTATTTCGGTTTTCTGACTTCGACCATAACAATAATATGTTGATGTGCTCAATCAAAAGCTGGTCGATTGCATATGATTAATATAGACCATGCGTCTGTTGCGATCTCAATGCCAGTACGTGTACCGCCCGAGCCAGTGATGCGTTCTCAAGAGAAAAAAATATTATGCTAAGTATGTTTAAAAATAAATTAGGGCAATAAGCTGTCCACGGTACAGATTTTTCGGTCAAATTTTGTTCGCGTTTGTAGCACGTCTGATTCTGTAAACTTGAAATTAAATTTGGCAGCAATATTTCCTCATTCATAGACGATAATCAACAGAGTGATCGAAATCAGAAATCAATATATCTTTATTCAAATTGGATGTATAGTACAACTCTTTTGAATCGTCCAAAGAAATGTTTTTCCTACCGAGTGGTAGGGAAAATATGTCCAATAACGAGTGTTTTTGGACATATTTTTTAACTGTGGAGAAAAACGAGCGAAAAAAGCTCCACAACATTAAAAGTATAATGTAACAACATTTACAAATGATAATGTTGTTACAGCGTTAATACAATCATGACTTATTAAATATGGAAAATCTGTTAAGAATGATGGGAACAGTTCAAACCCAAGCATTTTTGTCTGTAATATAATCAGACACTTTGTTATAAGCTTATTTAATAAGTGCTTTTTTATACTATCTTTGAATTTATTTATAGTTAACTCTTGGACAAAGACCTTTAAATGAATTATAGATTTTGTGAAGCATAGTAGCAGGTAAAGTTAGTTTATTTTTGTTTCTTGTATTAAGTGTGTGAACATCGATTTTTATGAAACAAATTCATATATTTTCTTACAAGTAATTAAAATTTTCGCATATGTATTGTGATGCTACCGTCATTATGCCAAATTCTTTAAACTTATCTCTTAAGGATTCTTTAACTTTAAGATTATAAATTGATCGAATAGGTCTCTTCTGCAGCACAAAAATAGTTTGAATGTCGGCGGCGTTTCCCCACAATAAAATTTCTTACGACATTACACTATGGAAATAACTACACTAATCTGGCCGTATTTACATCTGTTAACTAGCGTATCTTCATTGCAGCATATGCTGCAGAGCTAAGTCTATTAGACCATTAACATTGAAGCTTAGAATCTAAAGTAATCCCTAAGAATACTGTGGCCTAACATGGCCCACATTGCTATCCTTTACATTCACACTGGTTTTTACCTGTTTTACATTAGGTAATACAAATTTCATAGATTTTGTTTTTCCTTCATTAAGTAATAAATTATTAACATTGAACCAGTGGACAGTGACTACCTTAGAGATACAACTGTTCACGTCGTCAATAACTGTTTCCTTGCGTTTAAATAAAATAGTAAATAAATAGTAGATAATATAAGCCACTGTTAAATATAGTTTTAGATTTATAGAATCATGCTAGAAACAAGCATGTATCTATACTTTGCCCATAGTGAAGTTATAACCTAGTTTCTCAAAGAAGCCAACAGAAAATGATGGCCTGGCCTACCCGTTTAATAATTTTAACGCCCCCAATGAAACTAAAATATTGCGTTGATTGATGCGCAGTTACATAGTTAAAAAAACGAGCGAGCCTTACAATACTCGCGTATGATGTGTAACATTTGAAAACTCATCTTATTTTAGTAAAAAAGAAATAAAACCTACTACAAAAGGAATAAGCCATTTGAACATTATGTTCTAAAATCAAATCAAATAGTGCGCGCTTTCGCGACTTCCTGTTACACACTTCCCTCCCGTTTCACGAAATCACTCCCACAAATTGCAGGAAAGTGAGAAGAAAGATGTATAACACATCAAAAATAAAAAATATGATGTACTTGTATATACATTAAATTACTGAACTACTTTCGAAGCTCTTTTACTTTAAATTTCATTGCTAATGTGTTACATGGCTGGATATGTCCATTCGGGATCGAATTTATTTTATATGTAAATAATATAAGTTTCATACCTGTAATTTTTCTATGAGAGTGTTGAAGCGTTCTTGTTCCTTCTTGCCCTTGGTGCCTTGAGATGTGTCTTTTGCGGCATTAGCTGCTGCTGTTTTTAGGCGTTCTATTTCTCTTTCATAACTTTCGACGGGCACGCGAAGGTCATACATTGACAAAGACCTAAAAGATTTATGAACGACATCAAGGAAAAAAAAGAAAATTTACGTCACTAGTTGGCGCCACTGTGACAAGGTCGTTTGAATGAAACTTTAGGCGCGAACTAATCGAACGAGCATTTATTAAATATATTTATTTTTTATTTACATTGCATTTGATTATTGAAATTGGCTGTTAAGAGTACTGAAACTTACCAAAAAGTCACATAGAATTCCGGTGAAATATCTTCCCACACTCTAGCAGGCAACATAGGAGTAACAGATGTTAGTATTGGCTCCAATGTTTCCTTCGACGCTAGCATATATCTTTCGATGCTTTTATCGAGATTGTCAGTTTTGGCGTCGATACCCTTACGAAGGAACTCTGCTCTGGCAGCTATCTTTTGAGTCAACACTGGGCGGTGTAGGAAAAATGCAACGTCTGCATCAACATGATAGTCACGTAGCAATTCCTGTCAAACAATGTTAATACTTACTTTATTTTGTAATATTCTTTTGTTTCCTTGTAAGATGGACTTTATAATATATGACCAGAGCACTGTGGTTTATTTTGCTTGCAAGTTGAAGATAAGAACCACCTCACCAGAAAATTAAAAGCAGGCTATATTAGGATATACAGATAGAACTAATGTAATACGACTGTAATATACTAAAAGCAATTAAACCGCCCTAATGCTAGACTTTTAAATCAAACTATATTCTGTTTATTGCGTGATTAATCCTGAACCTGAAACCTGAACAAGTATGAAATGTGATTCACTTTTTCGAGTGAGGCCGTTAAACTTGCAATATTTGTTTTCGGGGTTAAAATATTGTTTATATTGTATAAAAAAATCACAATCAAAATTCAACTTACCTGTAAAGGCGGTAATCGAGCTGCGTACTCATCTGGTGCATGCGATGATGCCAAGAACGTGCCGAGTTGAACTAAAGCATCTTGGCACTGGTCAGCTAACCTACCGACAACTTTTAGTTGCGACCCCGGCGGTTCTCCACTAGTTGGCTTTTCTTCTTCATATTCTACAATTTTTTTTTTTATATTTTTGAAAATAAATCTTTTAAAGAAAGCATTACTAGAAAACGAAAATTATCGATTTATAAATATAGCAATAAAATGCTTAAAAAAATAATTAAACAACAATCTTTTTGTTCAAATATTATTTGAAGTTCTTGAATGCACACGTTAATTTATTCATATTAAGGGAGTGCAAAAAAAATGCAAGTCCGCCATATTGGATTTAGAAGGACGTCACTTATCTCACCATGCATTGTCACCCAAATTAAAAGTGCGTGCAAAATGTAACCATTGAGGTTAGCGGTTGAAGATAACCGCTTTAACAGCCAGTTGCAAGGTTTAATCCAAACATACACACATTGCAAGTTAAAAGAAGGCTTTTGAAAGATATATTGGTATCAAATTATGATATTTGTTTCTTAGGTTTTCACGCACATCACTCATTAAATAAAACTAGTTTTTACGGGTTAATGCACGAAACTTTATTTATTTATTGACGTTTAAAGGCTTCGTCGTCAGAATAAAACTTTTATTTTAAAAAGGCTACGAAACGTCAATAAATAAATAAAGTTTCGTGCATTAACCCGTAAAAACTAGTTTTATTTAATCAAATTATGAGTTTATTTCAGTAATAATAATAATAATTTATTTTCATCATAAATATTTTTACAATCGGGAGGTACATTTGGTTGCTATCCAATTATCACTAAAAGGAGATCAAGTTTTTGGAAAACTAGCTACCTTACTACATGCTCGACCCATGTGTTGAATGAGGTTACAATTGGCAGTTATGGCTCACAGATATGATTGCTTCAGTATAAACATTAAAAGTGAAGTTTGAGTTAAATATATCTATGGAAAAAACAAAACTAATTGTTGAATGCATGTATGTGTGTGTGGTTGAGAGTGTGTGTGTGTGTATGCGAGTGCGTGTGTTAGTGTGAATGTGTGTGTGTGTGTGTGTTCGTGAAAGTGCGTGCAGAAGTGTGTGTATGTATGAGAGATCAAAAGAGGAGGGAAAGAATAGGCTAGTTGCCTATATTTTAAATAGTGGTTAATAATATACCTTGATGTTTATTTAACCCCAAAAAATATTATTTTAAATAAAAAAGTACATTAGCAATATGTATTTTGTATTTTAAAAAACTTATTCAAATTTCCCTCGAAAACGCTCTAGACTGTCATGGCGTCTAGAATGACGTCACGCCGTGGAAAGCAAACAATACGCTGTACGCTACGTGACTATTAAAATTATTTAGTTAAAAATGAATCCATCGTATTACAAGTACTGCATAGTGCCCTAGTATAAAAGGAGAAGCATACAACGCCAGACAAATTATTTATATGCCACAAATGCGGAAAAAATGGTTAGAACTTACAAGGAGGGATGGTACCTATTCATTGTTTATCAACAAATACAAGAATAATTTTGTGATGAAAATTTTGATGTAAGTATTTTGCATAACATAATCAATGAAATCAAAATGTTATACAAGCCGGATAAATTATATTGCATTATATTGATAAAACAATGACAATAGGTTGAGGTTAGGTAAGTTGATTTAATTTTATGGTATGATTTAGAGTCTATTTGCGAGTTCAGTATATTTATTCATAATAATAAACACTTCTTATTCTTGTTCTAGTTGCCAAATGATATGCTTAATTATGTCGAGTAGTTATGCGATAAATTTTTTATTTAGGTTAAAATATTATTATTTTCTTCGGTAAATCCCAATTCCATGGATATATTAGCCTTCCTTTCAATAATTATCTGAAAACAAACTGATAAATTGTATCAAAGTAACAATAACATGAATGAGAAATCAATGAAATGTATGGAAACGGCAACCACAAGTAATGTTTTGCACGTGGTGACGTCAGTCTTTCTGATTGGTGTTTGTCGTCACGTGATCTAATGCCTATTTTATTCGAATTTATTTTCTAAAAATAATAATAATCTTTAATTATTACGATAAATAGCTTTATTTTTTGTTATCTGTATATCATAATTCAAATTTAGAAACTGTAACCCATTCGATTTATTGTTAGTTGACACAAGCCTATTATATCAATAATGAAAATATACCAATGGAATTAAGATCTAAAAGGAATTGATATTTAATAAGTTTTCTGTATATCTGTATAATTTAAGGAGAGAAGCCAGTTTTTGAATTTCTTTTTAAGTGACAGAATGGGCAATGAGTAGAAATGAAGTACTTTGTTAAGTTTATTGTAGAGATGCGGTCCTTGGAAACAGGGTAATCTTCTGGTTACGGAGTATTTGCAATGGAAAGGTTTGCACACTTTGTTTTTGCGTCGTCTTGTGGTGATTTTTTGATAATGTGTTTTCTGATGTTGAAGTTGCATAACATTTAGCACCCCCCAGGCACATATACAGTAAGTTATGAGAGACTGACAGAACGCAAGGTAAGTACATCTAATAATTTGGCCGTCGGCTACGTAGCGAAGAGAGAGAGTAAAGACATATATAAGCTTCCTTTTTCTTTTATATCTCGATAAGTATCGCAAAGGTTAATCCATCGTCAGTGTAAGTCCAAGATATTTAATGGTCCTAGGGCGTTCCTGAACGGGACATTTTCATTTTTTTCTCCAGGCAGAAAACAAGTGTGCGACAAGGGTGTGAGAGTCTGGGGGATGGGAAGTTTTACGCAGGCTATAGATGAGCACTTTGGTTTCATCAGTGGTCAAAGTGAGAGAGTGCATGTTAAGCCATTGTGTCACAATATTCAAACCTTTTTATGCTGTATCAAAGGTTTCAAGCAAAGTGTCACCAGAAAAGGTAAGAACCGTGTCGTCAGCAAATGCAGTGATTTTTCCATTTTGTAGTTTAAGATTGCAGAGCTCGTTCATATATGCAAGAAAGAGAGTAGGACCAATCACACTTCCCTGCGGGACTCCGAAAGTTATTGGCAGTTCGCTGCTTTGATAATTTTGTATTTTGACGCATTGTGTTGGATTGTGGAGATAGTCCTTGAAAATATTAAGCGCACGATCTCGAATTCCAACTTTTTCTAATATGCATACCAATTTAGCAATAGATACAGTATCGAACGCGTTTTTCAAATTTAAAAAGATTGATAGAACCTTCCTTTTCCTGTCAATATTAACTGCGATGTGATCGATCACTGCATTGTTTGTCGATTTGTTGCGTCGAAAACCGAACTGATTTGGAGAGAGGAGTTTTTTATCTTCCAGATATTTGAAGAGTCGTTTGTTGATAAGGCGTTCAAGAATTTTAGAAATGCAAGGTAACACAGCAATAACACGATAATTATTAACGCAAGTTTTGTCACCAGACTTGTATATCGGATGGATAATCGCCCTCTTAAAGTATCGAGGGAAAATGCCTGAACTAAGACAGAGATTGAAGATATGTGTGAGAAGTGGGACAAGTATCTGTTTGTAGCGTTTGAGAAGCTTGGTAGGTATGTTGTCCCAACCCAGGGCAGAGTCCGTTTTTAAAGACATTATTAAATCTCCAATCTCCGTTGTATCGGTATCAAACACAACAAATGACTGGTAATTACAAAGAGCAGAAGTATCGTCAAAGAGTTTGTGATTTCCAGGGGGATGTATTATTTGCTCAGCTAGAGATCTACCTATATTGACAAAAAAATCATTCACCATATCTACCGATGTTTGGGGTGAGATTGAGGAAGCGAGTAATTCATTATTTGGAATGGTAGGTTTGTAAGAATTAGTAATACGATTAATAACTTTCCACATCTTTTTGTTGTCATTTGAAGCCTCTTTTAGTTCTTTCCTATCATAATCTCTTTTTATTTTTTTTTAAGATTTTTGTGCAATTATTTCTGTACCTTTTATAAGTAATAGTTAGGATAGTATTGTTAGGAGATTGCTTAAGTCTTTTATGCATTAAATCCCTATTTGGCATACAGCGGTAGATGTAGTAGATGAAATTCTATAATTACCTTTCCAGACACAACAATGTCGTTGCTGGGCCGATAATATACATAACGATATGTCCAAATTATTTCCAACTATGGCTTCTTTCAATCTAGCGGATGATCTTCTGGTGTTGCGAACTTGGGAGAAGTATCCAGCCTGTTTGTACAAAAAAACAGTTATAATTAATACCAATTATACCTAATTTTCGTTCAAGTTATAAAATAGTGGCTTACTTCTCCCTTCAGTAATTCACCTCCAGCCATCGCATCTAACTGTTCCGGTGTCATTTCCTCAGCAGCTTCTATACCAGCCATTTTTTGTACGATTTCTTTAAGAATTAACAGATCTTGGCTGAAAATTAATATAATGTGATCATAAGATCAAGGAAAATGTAAAAATATTCTATAAGCTATTATGTTTGCATAGTATAGTGCAATTCAAACTTTATGGTGGCTGTGTAGTTAGTAGCAGGCGCAACTATGCGCAGTGTCAATTTAGTGAAACCCCGTGCGCATCCATGCGCTAATTTCACATCCGCCAATCAGTTTAAATCACACTTTATTCTTTTAATGATTTGTGTAAAGACTTGAATTTGGTATTACTATACCATCCATAGAATTAGAAATAATATGGAATACGCACTGCACTAAAAACTGGTTCCACGCAAACAGCGATCAAGTGGGCGGTGCGAATAAACTGCGATCAACACCGATCATGGGATTGGTTGAGATTTCCGGTAAATATTATCATACCCAATGAATGGATGGCCGAATTCATTTTCAAAATTTGATTGGCAAAATTAGTAATAAAATTGTTATATGAGTTTGGAATCATGTTTAGAGAGTAATGCTTCCATATTATTTCTAATTCGTTGATATCATCATTATTTAAAAAAAAAAACAAGAAAATTGTGTGTGTGTATGTATATTGTAAGGTGAAAATAGTCTCACCTCTGCTGCGCTTTGAGCCTGTTCGCCACGAACTGCAGTAGCGCGGTGAGCTCAATATTGTGTTTCTTGAAGGCGGCGCCCGCGAAGGCAGCCAGCGCCTGCAACCAGGGGGGGTGTGCCGCCCCGGCCACGGCACCTCGCCCCGTACACAGCGCCTCCACCAGGCAATACCCCAGCACGTCCAGCGACAACGACGTCAGGTACTTGAGCGACTCCACCACCGGCCCGATCAGGTTGTCGTACGTCTGTATCTGTGTTATAATAGCACACATACAGAATGGAAGAAATGCTCCCTTACAGTACTGTATACCAGCACAACCAGCAACAACGATCAGGTTTTTGTACGTCTGTATCTGTGTTACAGTAGCACACATACAGAATGGACCAAGCGCCCTAACAATACCCCAGCACGTCCAGCAACAACGACGTCAATTGCTTGAGCGACTCCTCCACCGGCCCGATCAGGTTGTCGTTCGTCTGTATCTGTGTTATAGTAGCACACATACAGAATGGACCGAGCGCTCCCTAACAGTAACCAAGCACCTCCAGCGACAACGACGTCAGGTACTTACTTGAGCGACTTCTCCACCGGCCCGATCAGGTTTTTGTACGTCAGTATCTATGTTACAGTAGCACACATACGGAATGGACCAAGCGCTCCTTAACAATACCCCAGCACGTCCAGCAACAACGACGTCAGTTGCTTGAGCGAATTCTCCACCGGCCCGATCAGGTTGTCGTTCGTCTGTATCTGTGATATAATAGCACACGTACAGAATGGACCGAGCGCCCCCTAACAGTACCCCAGCACGTGCAGCGACAACGACGCCAGGTACTTGAGCGACTCCACCACCGATCCGATCAGGTTGTCGTATATCTGTGTTATATACGCACACACATAGAGAATGGACTGAACAGCAATCGCATGAAATTGATATCTCTAGAAACAGAAAAAACAGCTAATCTATATGTGCCTCCCGATTGTTTCGTCTCTCTCACAGTTGTTTTACTTTAACTGCCGCTTACTCTTTATGACATTAAAACATACTTTTCGAATGTACTTCCTCTACCTTCATCGCAGCTATGTATTATGATTAAAAGCTTGTTAATCGGAACTAACTATGAGAGCACTCGATCTTTGCATAAAAAAACATGGTATATAATTAAATTTCAGAAAGACTCAGAATAAAAAATAGCAATTAAAATTCTGCCACAATTAAAAAATCTTGTTAATTTTTATGGTTTACCTGTAGCAGCATGTAATCGAAAAGGAACGCAGGCGCCGCATGTGATAGTTTCCCTATGTGGCGACCTTGCGGTTTTATATTTTCTTTAGAAACACGTTTCATGATGTGCTTGATTCTTTGCAAAGAGTTGCCGCGCACCCTCATGAGCGAAGGTATCCTTTCACCGGCTTCGTTCTTCCAACGTGAGTATAAACAATACCTTTCAAAACAAATAATATACTTAATAACATAATAGTAAAACTTAACAACTACAATTGCTTTTTATAAGACTCACCGGCATTGATAAGGATATAACTTCAGAAGAGTATAGACTTCTTCAGCCATACAACAATTTCCGTCCATCAATGTAAGTGCTGGTAATATGGCAGCGTCCAGCACAGTCAGAGCTTCATGATGAAGAGGATCTTCTAGTTTCGAACGTGACGTTCTTAGTATACGGATTATCTACAACAGTTTATAAAATACAATTTATCTACACCCATGCTTTAAAACTGCTATTTAAGATTCTGAAACAGTTAGCTTATTGCCAAGATTAAAACACCCAATGTCATAATTAAAAATAATATAAGGGTTTTATAAGGATTTTTTTTATAAATTTCATAATAACACTCCTTTAACTTTTAAATCCCTACCGTGCCAATGGCTTACTGATCAGACAGCCAAAATTTTTACTGCTGAATGCGTGGTATTGTGAATTTCCAAAAAAGAACACTATCATTCACGCGCGCTTCACATTAACAGCGCCGAAAATTTTCTTGAATTTTAATTTTTTAGAACGCCCCATGGGGTCAGAGTCTTTTACAGGATTAATATTTTAAATAGAAATTATTAAGTAATATATGATGGGTGTTGATAAAGTCTTATATGCATCTGTTATAATTAGATATTAAAACACTCACGTGATACTATTATTATATAAACATGATAAACCCACACTCGTTTTTTAAAACCCCTCATTACACAACAAGTGTATAAATAACTATTAAACACATTTATCTAAAAGAAAAAAAAACATTTTTATTTGATCTAAGTAAACATTGATTTAGATCCTAAATAAGCCTTTTGATACTAGTCAAATGAGTGTTTTCTTATTATATTGCTGTCAGAAAGACACACCATGAACTTTAATCCAACATAAAATATATTGACGTTTCTGAGGATTTTTCTAACAAAGTCGTTAATATTGATATATGCTCTTTACTTACTTTGTACATTAATATGGGATCATGATGGAGAGATGGCCCAAGTAAAATTAAAGCTGGAATTACTGTCTCTTTTATGTCTTCAAATGTATTACAGGCTTTTGGTGCTAGTGGTGAAGTTAGAAGTGGTATTGGTTTGCCTAGAATTTTGGGAGCCACACGGCAATGTCTGAAAAACAAGCAGTTTATATGTTTTGAAATGACAATGGTTGTATATTGTAGTTAAATTCGGCAACGCATATGCACCGTGTAATACTACCAGGTATATTGCAAGTGATTTAAAAGTCAAATATGTAAGTTAAATTTTGCATTGGCCAAATAAGGTAGGTCTGGCAGGTGTCAGCTCTTAGTGCTTTATTTAAAAGTAAAGGAAACATTATCATAAAATATTAAAAAATAATAAGAAACCAAGCTAAAAAAACAGCACAATATCTGATCAATCCGATCAAAAAGGGACAGAACCCAAATTAACAAGGTATAGAGATACAAAAATAACACCTCACTCTACATGTAGGGGAGGTAACTTCAAAATGTTCTTTGCGATTTTATTTACCACTTTGTCCGCGTGACTAATATGTACATCCATATCAAATTAAATGTAATGTGAGAATCAGATTGCGCAGGCCAACATTCGGAAAAACGTCCAATCGCGTACAGGTATTTGATAAAGGCTCTTTTGTCCAGTCGCTTAAGGGCAAAGAACTGCGCTGGCGCGAAAGCTTTGGCAGAGAAGAGAACGTCGATCGTCTCTGGAAATCGGTCGTACAACTTGTAAAGGATGCCGTCCATGAATCTCAGCCTCACGTTAGATCCAAAAAGAAACAGCACTGGATGACGACCGATACCTGGAACTTAATCGAGAAGCGTAGAGAGCTTAAAGGAAGTGGCGCTAAAATACAAGAACTTAATGCCATGACTTCTGCCATACAAGCTGCTTGCCGCCGAGATCGTAATATGGAACTACAGTCAATATGTGAAGAGGTTGAACGGCATTCTCAAAAGTCTGAAACAAAAGACTTACACATGAAAATCAGACTTATAACCCGCCAGTTCAAACCAAAGACTTGGGCCATTGAGGATGCGACTGGGTCTACTGTTACGGAGATTAAGCGGATTGTAAGTGTCTGGATGGACTACTGTGCGTCTTTGTTTGCTGACCGTGCAGTTGACGTCGCAATGACCTATGACGAAACCTCAGAACGAGAACCAGTTCCGCTAAAAGATGAGGTACGAGCAGCGATTAAACATCTTAAAGAGAACAAGGCTGTGGGTTTCGATGGAGTCCCGATTGAGACGATAAAAGCTATGGGGGAAATCGGAGTAGAAATGCTACACATCGTCTGTTGTCGAATTTGGGTCACCGGAGTTTGGCCGTGTGATTGGTCCCACTCTGTATTCATCCCGCTGCATAAAAAGGGATCAACAAAAAAGTGTAGCAACTACAGACTCATCTCTCTCATATCCCATGCCAGTAAAATCCTGCTGCACATTGTAAACATGAGGCTTCAAGCTTATCTGTCCCGAGAAATCGCCTCCGAGCAAGCTGGTTTTGTAAAGGGTCGAGGTACAAGAGAACAGCTGCTTATTTTGAGACAAATTGTAGAAAAGGCCGGAGAGTTTAACATCGCTCTCTACGTGTGCTTCGTTGACTTCAGGAAAGCCTTCGATACGGTCAAATGGTGGAAATTATGGTCGATACTGACGGAGATGGGGGTACCGCTGCACCTTATACACCTCATCAGACGGCTATACGAGGATGGTACTGCAGCTGTCCGGGTCGACGATATCCACTCTGAGCACTTCAAAACACAGGCCGGTGTAAGACAGGGTTGTATATTGTCTCCCCTACTATTTAATATATACACAGAGTATATAATGCGGATTGTTCTTGAAGATTGGGGTGAAGGAATATCCGTAGGAGGCAGAAAAGTGTCTAACTTAAGATACGCCGACGATACTACCCTCCTAGCGTCAACCAGAGAGGATATCGAATTGCTTCTTCATCGACTAGAGACGACAGCGTTGGAATTTGGACTTGCAATCAATCGTGATAAGACCAAAATAATAATTGTGAATCGGGCTAACTATAACCAACCGGACGTCCAGAGTATAGCGGGTTGCGAGGTTGTCAACAGCTACATATATCTGGGTTCCACTATTACCAACGAGGGGGGCTGCGAGGATGAAATTCGAAGACGTTGCGCCATGACTAGATCATCAGTGGAAAAACTCACAAAGATTTGGAGTAGGATAACCAAAAACACAAAGGTTCGGCTAATGAGAACCTTGGTTTTTCCAATCTTTCTATATGGAGCTGAGACGTGGACACTCAAAACGAAAGACCGTCGCAAGATTGACGCTCTGGAAATGTGGTGTTGGAGACGTCTGCTACGCATTCCTTGGACCGCGCACCGTACCAACGTTTCAATCCTGAGGGAACTCAACATCAAAGAGAGATTATCGTTGACTGTGCAGATACGAATCCTCAAATTCTTCGGGCATATTACTCGCAATGAGAACTCCATGGAACGATTGGTGGTGCAAGGGAAAGTTGAGGGCAAAAGGTCTCGCGGGCGCTCTCCAACAAGGTGGACAGACCTTATTAAATCGGCGACGCACTCTAGCGTAAATGATTGTTCTCGCTCTGCAAAACATCGAGCTGCATGGCGACGCATCGCGATTGCATCAGTGGCACAAGAATCGACCGAGACATGACCACGACCACTCTGTCAAGAGTGAACGACTAGGAAGAAGAAGATCAAATTAAAGTTTTCTAATACTAATAGTTCTCTTGCCAAAGCTGTTGACAGATAAACAGAAGGAAATATCGAAACTATAACAGTTTCTTGTTGACTTTGGAAATAAAAAACAACAGGATTACTTAATCACTTGCAACAACTACTTGCCTGTAAGATAGTAAAGACAAGTTATTTTTATAGGAAAAGTACACAAACTTACGTTCGGTATAAGGGTTCAATCAAGGCGTGCAACATGCTGCAAAGGGCGATTGCAGGTCGAGGCGCCATTAATGTGGTGGGTAAGCGAGCAGAAAGGGCAGCGAACTCACGCCAAGCATTCACTCTTAACAGTGCCTCTCCTAATACCAGCTTCTGATTACCCCAATATTCCTTGAAGTAAAAGAATCGGACAAAACAATAAATTTTAAATTGTAATTTCTTATTAACTTAGCTTAGCTGGCACTTTACTTGGCTATTCGTTTTTGCTGTTTGTAATTTTAACAGGGCCAACTGCCTAAGGGTATTGCTATGGCTATTTCTATCGCTTATGATTTTATTTTGTTATTTCAGTTCGGTCAGCCGCCGAAGTTTTTCAAATGCTTCGCGCTCTTTCTTTTTGCATTTATCATAGCAATATTATAGGAAATCAGCATGAGACATTTGAAAACCTTCGGCGGAAAGAAATAACAAAATGAAATCGTAAGCGATAGCAATAGCCATAGCAATCCCGTTAGGCAAATGGCCCCCAGGTTTGTCCTTATCGTTCTCCATAGGGTGTGAAAAAGAGAGACTGTTGACAAGTTTACAAATAGCAAACACGAATAGCCAAGTGAAGTGCCGGCATTACGTTTAATTATCCTCATCACTTTGCATTGTATTTGGTATTAATATTTTTTTTATATCATGCTTCTATAGGGGATAGCGGTTGCCAAAATGAATTAAGATAATTAAGCCAGAAGTAGGCTCAATATGTTTGTTACTTTTGGTATAACTCCATAAGAAAGGGGGATGCCAGGTGGCCATAGTAACTTAGGCTTTTGTTGCACATATATTACATGAAAGTTATACGTAAATAACCAGTATTAAAGCAGCTATTATGTAGCAAAGGTTAAAAGGCGTGGGGCAGTAGGGCATAAATTAGTATAACAGAACTTAAGAGTTTGTGACTACTATACACTAGCGCCACAAGCAGACAATCGACGAACTAAAAACGCATGATAACAATGAAACACAGCAGCCGATTGTTTATGTTGGTATTGATATATATTTAATTATCTTTTTATATGACTATGTATATTCTGACAAAAATATTTTTTTTTATTATAACTATTATTGGTCTATAGAATAAGTAAATTAGAATTTTACCGCGCGGAGAGAGCATACAGTTATCAAGATGTAAATTGGCGGTCAAAAGTAAGTAAATAGTAAGTAAGTATGATTGCATTTCGCAAACAAAAAACAGGTACGTACTACCAACATTGTGGCAAATATCACAAACTTGCCCACATGTACTATACTATAGTACAAGCTAAGTTTCCTGAAACTGTCATTTTCCACCAGCTGACTTTGAGCTTTGTTTTGCTTGTTATAAGATTCACTATCAGTGTGTGGTAACTTTAACTGTAGCTGGCTGTTTGTACTTATAATCTTCTTATTTAATAAATAAATTTATATTTTTAATTTATTTTTTTAGCACTTAACTGCTAGATGTTTAAATCTAAAGAAAATTTAAATGTTTATCTAGTAAAATTTTCTTTAATTACTTATGTAGCATCGAAAGTCATAGGCAACAATATTAAAACCCCTATACAACATCATTTACTAAATTATTATTTGGTCAAAAAGTTGTCCTAGAGGTACATTGGATGATTTACGGAGCTGCGTGGGAAGATCGCATAGCCTAAATCAATAAGGCACTATTGAAACATTCAAAGTCATCATTAATACATAAGATATAAGGTCTTAATTTAAACTCGTTTGTTAAAGCCCAATGACATTTCAAAACGCAAGCTCACAAAATTCGCTACAGGCGGTAACAACAATTTGCTACAAATGCTTAAAATTAATAAATATTGTTTTCATTTCTGTCGAAACAACGACATTACGGCTGCAGATAAACGACGCGAAAAAATTCTTTTGCATTGCAGCGTCCACTCCTCGATCACACGGCGGCCGCGCGGTCGCTGCGCAGTTAGTTACTCACAAAGAATTTCAACGTTAAGGCCTAGTTAATAAAACATAAATCTGCCATGACTGAACAGTTATAACGCGGCCACAGCGCGGTGACCGCGCGGCCGCTGTGCTTTCGCCGTACTGTCACCGGGCGGCCGCCACGCTGTGACATTCTGTGTCATATAAACGCGCCCTACCTACTATCAGTAGATATTGTTTTCACGTTTTTTCACGAAGCTCTTCAGCATACTGACTTTTCAATGGTCCATGCACGTGGAGCCTTTGCGGTAATAGAGCACTACTTGATTGGAACATATTTATATAGCTGAGGCCCAAGCACGAATTTCGACATAATCGTATTACCATTGTCAAATTTGAATGGAAGGAGCCAGTTTGTTCTTACGTCCAGTAGCGCTGCTTAGATTTCATAGTAACTTTGATGATGGGATACGATACGGAGAAGAGTAAAAATTCGTGTACAGGCAAAGTACCCCAAACACGATAAATTGTCAAGTTCTACATAATGGATTTCAATTTCATGTGGTCGTTTTACACTTTTTATTTATGTATATCATATGTTTTACTGTTTAACAGTGATAAAAAATATTTGAGATTATTTTACCATATTTTAATATACAGTGGTGGTCATATAATTAGAAACACTTCTAATGAATAAAGAAAGTATAACTTCAACATACAAATGTTCTGTTTTAAACTTTCATGGTCACTAACATTATAGTAATATAAGTTATTTACGGGATTGTTACCATGTACCTTGTTTTTAGCGAGTTTCTGATATTTCGGCACTGTTGCAAGCGCCATGATCACGGTGTAACTGAAGTAATTGCGGGTAGGCTGTTATTGGCAGACATATCGGTCTACCCTCCGACGAAGTCTTTTATTGCGTTCGATACCCGTACCACTGTTCACATTCTCACTATTCACTCGAAACTGTTCTCGACACACAACACTTACAGTATCGGATCGCGACACGACACTTTTTCGATTATTTCCGGTTTTACACATTACAACATTTACAAACATTTTCAGATGAAACAAAAATAAATATGGAAAATTCCGATGGAAAGCTCTATGTTAGACGAGCTGTAAACAATGCTTTTAATCATAAATACGTATATAAGGAGTATAGTTAAGTACAGTGGTGATAATATTAAAGTTTGGAGGCGTTTTTCCGGATGTGGAGTTGGACCCTTTCGGAAGATCGAAGGTACAATGGATCAATGGCAATACAAAAATATCTTCGAGCACACAATGATTCCCTACTCAGACGATCATTTGCCTGTAACCTGGATCTTTTAGCATGACAATGACCCTAAACACATGGCCAATAGCATCAAATGTTTCCTTAGCAAACAGCATATTAGACTGGCCAGCAAATATTCCAGATTTAAACCAGATAGAAAATCTCTGGTATTTCGTTAAAAAGAAAGTCAAACAAACGTATCACCAGTCATAACGAAGCTAGAGCATGGAATATCATGATTGAATACAACCCCCCTAGAAAAATGTATGAAATTGATTTAATTCAATTTCACATTGCAGTGCTGTTATTGGAATTAAGGGATACACCACTAAATATTAATTATAACTATTGATAGGCTGTGGATAGTAGCTATTTCGTAAATCATAATACTAATTACTAATACTAAAAAAAATATTGTTTTTTATACTTTTTTGTTGTTGTTTCTAATTACTTGACCATTATTGTTCATACTTTTGTTTAATTGCGTTGAAGTATCTGACCGTTGGTAGTGTTTCTAATTATACAACCATCACTGTATATAATATGCTGTATGCTATAGGTCATAAATCAGCATATTCCTTTAAACTTTTATATTTAAATATATGTAACGCTTACCTGAGGGTCAGCTTTTTCTTCAATGAATTCAGTTGGTCCATTTGTTTGTGGTCCTTTTGTAGACACAATATTAAGTTTACGAATGTAGTCTTGTGCTGCTTTTACTTCCTTTTCTGCTTCTTTAGCCATTATTAAATCATCAGGTCTTAACTAAAATTGAATAGTTTGGTTTTGTTAGGACAACAAAAGGTAAAAATAATAATTAATAAAAGTTTAATTACCTACCCAAGGATAGATATCATCTAATGATATTACTTGGTGTTGTAAGAGTAAAGCTATAACAGTCATTAAGGGAGGTGGTTCTTTATATGTATCCAAAACTTCCATGTTACTTAATTTAAAACCAAGTACTTCAGATATCACATGTGGATCACCCATATAATTTTGTATAAGAGGTATAAAAAGTTTCTCTAAATGTGGGCGTGCTTCAAATGATTCAAGAATAATGTCCAAAACTCTATTTGGATCTAAATTGAAGCATCCTATCAAAGATTGCATAATTTCCAATATTGTTTTCCATTCAGTATCTTCATTTATTTCTTGATTTAGTTCTACAATTAACTTAGCATATCCTTCACTTTCTTCTCTAAACAAATTAAATTTACGTTGTTTATAACTGAAAGAATAATGAATAGTATTAAAATTTAACAAATATATTGAATCATAATTTTATTCTGATTGATTTATACATACTACAACTTAGTCTTGATTTTGATAAATTTGGTATAAAAGTTTTTGTTCTTCAAAGTACCGACATCTTGAAGTGTATCAATTTCTAATCTCTCTTTTAACAATTTGTCAGACATGAAAGATTCTAGTTCTCTCACAATATAACAAAAATTTGTGCGTTCTTCGCTTTGAACATCTATGCATGTTTCAGCATCTAATATGCACACTACATCTAAAACTATTGATGGTATATCTGCATGCAACACCTGAAATTTACAAAAAATATGAGATCAGATTGAACCTTCATTAATAACAGTAATACTATAAATAGTATTTCATATACTTACACATATGTCTCTAAGGGTTGATAGAATTGCATCTTTCTTAAGATTTCCACGAAGTCCACACAGCATTAAATCATAAAGATTTTGAGATAAACCAGAAAGCTTTCCAGATTTAGAAAATAATGGACTCTTATTGTCATCTTTAATAGTTTGGGTCACATGTTTAATACTGAAAAATAAAATTTTCTAACTGTCTAGATATTGTATTGAAAATAATATTAAATATATATCAACATGAAACATACCAGAAATAAACTAGCTTTCATTATTATAAAAGAACAATATATTTAGGTACAATAATGGTGCTTCACATGGTCATTTGATGATTTTTGGGTTGCATTTTTTAATTTATTCAGAAAAAAAACACCTATATATCCAATAAACCAATACACAACAATACAAATATCCACACATTGTGTTTAATAATGATTTACTCTTGAAACTTGAAACATATTTAAAACATTATTGAAACCTTAATTATTTTAAGCTTTGCATTTTCAAAACCTGGGAATTGCTGCAATGCCCCAAAATATTAATTTTAGAAATGCGGAAGTTTGTCCATTGTTAACTCTTCACTCTATTTGGTAAGTATGTGTTAGTTTTGGGAAAGGATAGTTTTTATTCCAAAAATCATCATTTATGAAGATGAAAAGGTGGAAGTTTGTATGGGAAACTACTCAGATGAATTCTCAGTCAGCTGTTAGTTTATGAAGATACAAAAAAATATCAAAGGTAGTCAGAGGAGTGCATGCTTGCACGGAACATTGTGAACATGGACAATAGGTAGTTTTTTATAAGCTTTTGATCCTTTCGATGAAATCAATTCAAAAATTTCATTACGGTCTGATTGCATGCCAACGATTGCATTTTATGCATGGCAGTAAAATATTAATTTCATTAAATTTATTATACTTATGACAACCAATCATTTATCTGTTCTTAGTTGTTACTAATTATTCTCAGTTTCATAAACATTAAAAAAATCAAGTATAGTTTTATTTAAGAGAGGAATACGTAGGTAGGCAAGCATCAAAATCCTTAGCAAACACATTCGGTTTATAGGTTTTATCGAATGTGTTTACAAAGAATTTTGTTTTTTTTCACATATTCAAATGTTGGATGACTGTTGCAATTTAAAAATGCTTGACTACAACCCCTTTTCATACTTTTTTAACCCAATTTAGAAAAACAACATGTGGACAACGAAATGCGATTTTTTTCGGGAAAAAATACAATAAAATTACCAGAGACAACACTTACAATTGTTCTCTTCCTGATATTTCCCAAGTTTTACAATATTCTGAAACAAACTTAGCATATGATCCCATATTTTCACAGGATATGGTCAATATTTCTGTAAGTAAGCAATAAAATTACGATTACAGAAACATCACGCTGAAGCCATTTTATCCTTTTCTTTTTTTTTTGTTAAATTCTCCCTTTTTAGGGAAGGCAAGGGGAACAATGCCCATACAGCCTTGTCCTAAGTTAAATTATTCTGTTTTTCATTTTACATTAGAATGTCGGTGTGACGCATTCTAATGTTTCTTGAAGTGTTTGGCACGAAATGTATCAAGCTGGCTTTTTCGATAAGCTTCTGTGAGGTAGTCAATACTACAGTAAAATTCTCACGTCCACTTGATCGGAATAGCGTATATTTTGACGATTCTACTAATTCTTCAGTTACGCAGACAGTTGTAACACAAAATCACACCAATTTTATTTCACAATATCCACTCTGAACGAATTTGAAAATAATTAAAATAAGACGCCAACCACACTCGATCAAATCCCGCCAAAAAAAAAGCATTTTATCCTTTTACAAAAGTGCACAGACTAGTGACACTAGTGTTGTGAAGTCCATAGATTACTTGCTGTGGTAAAGTCCTTTGCTCACTATCCATCTTGCCGGATCCAGCATGCGGGAGAGCACAGCACTACATTTAAAAGAGATTATTAACGGGCATATTACATCTCGACTGTGATTTTTGAGTAAATTGGCGTTCTTGATCTCAGAAACAAATATACATTAACAATTTTGATCTATTGAATAGTGCAGAATAACTATTGGCCTCTCAGAGCATTTATACCAGGAGGTGCCATAGCGTTCACTCGCCGAACAAAATTTTTCACCATTTTTGGTGCGGGACGAGGTACACACGTATAGCACACTAATGAAAATATGCAATACTCCCACAAACACGAGCGTGTTGTTGCTATAAACGCACACTTCAAAAATTACGTCACACACATAAAAAAACGCACACACGCTAACAATTTTTATGTAACTATGCAATTGTTCGAGCGTACACCAACACAAAATTAGAGAAGTGACATTAAAAGAATGAACGATATTTGAATGAATAGTTCTTGATGAATGAACATAATGTTTGTTTGTAATGAAAACAAAATGTTCCATTTATTAATATCTATCTGAAAGCTTATTTATAGTTTTAGTACTTATGATTTTTATGCACAAAGTTCAATGTGCTTTTTTTGCAAATTATATTGCTGTGCAAAAAATCTTTCCAACTGATTTTGCTGCCTTTTATCGGATAATCTGCCTATATTTAATAGCTTTTACACCCTTAATAATGGCAAACGCAGTATATTGACACAAAACACTGCGTAACTGACCCAAGCTTATCCATTCTTTGTTTAATATAATGGGGATAGCGAATTAATATACTTCAGTGAATTAAAGTTATTTGTTTTACTGATAATGTTTTCCTCAGTGGTTTAAGAAGTCAATAATTTTATCATGTGTCATTAATTAGAAAAAGAACCTCAATGATTCAAGCTTTCGGCATAAATCAATACCATGCTTTCAACGAGTGCTTCGCTAGCGTAGGCTTATATATATATATATATATATATATTATGTATATATCTCTTATCTATTAGACAAGTCCGTCCGTCCGTCCGTCCGTGGTGCTGTTTCAGCGGCCAAACCGTAAGAGATAGATATAGAGAATGTTTAAGTTATAAGTTAAGAATAGTCTGATAAGACTACAAACCGGATGTGAGTAACGTACCACTTCCGGTTTTCGAGAAATCACGTGATATCTATTTCAAACGGAACCACACAAAATCTCCGAAGTTCTTAATTAATTAAATACTTTTTTTGAAGTTATACTTCTTTAGCCGCGTTATGAACAAATTATGAGAGTGAAATTTTCATCACTGTAACACAAAATTTTAACATAATGAAGTTAGTCGCGGGCGCGTTATTTGTAATATTTTATTTTTTTGGTGAACGTTTGGTTCACTGGTTTGCTAGTATATATATAACGATGCAACGCAATAACTGCAACACGGTGGAGCGTCCACTCCATATTTAAAAATAAGTAACATTCTTATACATTTTTATTTTCATGAACAATTTGAAATTCGAATTCAATAAACTTTTTTGTGTCCAGCAACTTACCTACAATGCGAAGAGATGGCGCTGCCTTGCAGCTTAAGGCTAGGAAAATTTCGACGTGGCCAATAGGGCTGTGGTAGCATAATGGTCAGTGCATTCGCGCGGATTGCGTTGTATCGTTGCGGTTACGCTCGGCTCCAATTCCAATTTTTGACATACCGAAAATTTTGAATATAACCAAAAGATTCGTTTATCGTACGATCAAACGATACAATGAAGACTCTAGTGTAGATGACAGACCAAGAAGTGGTCGCCCTCGGTCTGTTAGGACTCCAGCAGTGATAAAAGCTGTGAAGGCGCGAATTCAAAGAAATCCCAAAAGTAAGCAGAAACTGTTGGCCCTTCAGATGGGGTTAAGCAGAACCACGGTAAAAAGGGTATTAAATGGAGACTTAGGGCTTCGGGCATATCGAAGAAAAACAGGACATCATTTGAATGCTCGTCTATTGGACCTGAGACTGAAGAGATGCCGCGCTTTGTTGAAGTGGTACGCGGGGAAAAAATATCATGAAATTCTTTTTTCGGATGAAAAAATTTTTACCGTAGAAGAGAGCTACAACAAACAAAATGATAAGGTGTACGCACACAGTAGTGAAGAATTCATTTCAGAAAAGTCATTTTCCATTCTTGCTCATGGTATGGTTGGGAGTTCCTTATTGGGGGGGGCTTAACAGAGGTACATTTTTGTGAAAAAGGTGTAAAAACGAATGCAGTTGTGTATCAAAATACAGTCCTGACCAACCTTGTGGAACCTATTTCTCATACCATGTTCAATAACAGGCACTGGGTATTCCAACAAGATTCGACGCCAGCTCATAGAGCGAAGAGCATACAAGACTGGCTGGCGGCGCGTGAAATCGACTTCATCCGGCACGACGACTGGCCCTCCTCCAGTCCAGATTTGAGTCCGTTAGATTACAATATATGGCAACACTTGAAGGATAATATGAGATTTATCGAATTTATAGCTTTAAATGGTGCTGATTGCGAAAACAACATTTTTCTCGAGATCCAAGTTTTTTTTTTTCACATTTTGGGACTATGCAGTCCTAATGGCACTGTAGGCACGGAAACTTAAAAGATCGATTTTGTGACTCTCCGACACCTTAAAGTACTTATCTGTTTTAACCAGACAACAAACCATACGAATAACAGCAATGAGATTACACGCAAATATAAACTCCTAGCAATTTGTCGCTCTAACACTCCTCCTTAATCTCATGCCTGTTAGTGTACCTACCATATAAACAGCCATCTTATTCACACACAACTCAAACCCATGCTTTTCACACACCATTCAAATTTACCTCTCAACAAACACTTTGTCAAAACATCAGCTGTCATTCTATTAGTTTCCTTGTACCTCAAATGAATGTCACCATTCTCAATCGCCTCACGTACAAAGTGATATCTTACATCCACATGCTTCGTACGCTGGTGATGTACAGGATTCTTAGCAATTGCCATAGCCGACTGACTATCAGTGAAAATTGAGATTGCGGGATTGGGTCCATCTCTTAATTCTGCAATAAACCTGCGAATGAAAATTGCCTCTTTTGCAGCCTCTGATAACGCTACATACTCAGCTTCTGCAGACGATATTGCCACTGTACGTTGTTTCTTGCTCTCCCAAGAAATAGCTCCTCCTTGAGATAAAAATACCCAACCTGAATTTGATCTTCTATCAAAGTCTCCGGCGTGATCTGCATCAGCATAACCTAATACAAACTCATTTTGGTTTCCCCTTCTATAGAATAATGCTAGATCCTTGGTTCCCATCAAATAGCGGAGCACTCTCTTTGCAGCTATCCAATGCTCGTCTCCGTAGCTGTTGTTAAACTGACTGAGCTGACTTACTGTGTGTGCTATGTCAGGGCGCGTACAAACAGCAAGGTACATCAGTGAACCAATCAATGCGCGATACGGTACTTTTTCATCAAGTTCTTGATCAAGCTGTGGCCTCTCTAGCCTTTGTCCTGGTACTGCTGGAGTAGCAACTGGTTTACAGTTCTCCATTCCAAATGTACGAATAACCTTCTCTATGTATCCCTTCTGATCCAGTTTGATCCCTTCACTATCTTGTGCTATTCGTATTCCCAACATCAACTTCGCTGTGCCAAGGTCCTTCATCTCAAATTTGTTTGTGAGATCGGTTTTAACCTTCCTTAATTCCTCAACATTATTCCAGAACAATAAAATGTCATCTACATATATGGCAAGAATAATTACTTTATCTCCTGTAGATCTAATATAAACGCATGGTTCATACTCAGACCTCTTGAATTTAAGTTTCAGCAATTCCAAATGAAGTTTTTTATTCCATGCTCTGGGAGCTTGTTTAAGTCCGTACAATGATCTTTGCAACTGGCACACATAATTCTCCTTTCCCTTTTCAACGAAACCCTCTGGTTGCTTCATATAAACCACCTCGTCCAAGTTACCATTCAAGAATGCGGTTTTCACGTCCATGTGGTCTATATTAAGATTCATATGAGCTGCCAATGCAATCAATGTCCTCAAAGAGCTATGTCTAATAACTGGAGAAAATGTCTCAAAATAATCTATTCCATGCCTCTGGCTGAAACCTCTTGCAACTAGGCGTGCTTTGTATCTCTTATTTCCCCCTGCCTCTTCTTTGATTTTAAATATCCATTTAGAATCAACGACGTTGCAAGATTCTGGAGGTAACGTCAATTTCCATGTTTTATTTTTCTTGAGTGCATTAAGCTCCTCGTCGATCGCAGCTTTCCATAAGTGTTTGTCTCTTCTAGACAATGCCTCATCCACACTCTGCGGATCATCACAATCAGCTATTGTGTGATATGTAATGCAGTCAGGTATCGCTTTCTTCTTTCTATCTCTTAAAGGATATCTTCTTGTAACAGAACTCTCTTCATTTGTTTCTGTTTCTAAATTCTCATGCAGAATATCATCATCATTACTACTTACAATATTTACAGGTTCATTTTCCGATTCAATTTGATCTCTTTGAAAATCTTGAACTTCTATGTGATCTTCATATTCTGTGACGTTATCCTTAAAACTAAGCGGTGCTGACTTCTCAACTCTTTCAACTGTTTGCTTACAGTTTATATTCTCGTTCTCGAAAAACACAACATCTCTGGCCTTGCTTAAATGATTAGTTATTGGGTCTATTAAGCGGTAGCCTTTCGATTCTTCACAGATGCCTACATGAATCATTTCTTTAGATTTAGCGTCCCATTTCGTCCGTTTTACTTTTGGTACGTGAATAAACGCTTTGCATCCGAAAATTCGTAGCATGCTTAAGTCTTGCTTCCTTCCAGTCCACGCTTCCTCTGGCGTTTTACCTTTAACTGCAATGGTCGGTGATCTATTCTTTAAATACACAGCGTAGTTCACCGCCTCTGCCCAGAACTTTTCATCTAGCTCTGCTTCCTGAAGCATACTTCTAGCTTTTTCTGTTATTTTGCGGTTTGCACGTTCTGCAACTCCATTCTGCTCGGGTGTATACTCAACCGTTAATTGCTGTTGTATACCACACTGCTTCAAAAATTTCTTCATCTGCTCATTGACATACTCCTTGCCATTATCCGATCGAAGAATTTTTAATTTCTTTCCAGACTGGTTCTCAGCAAATGTCTTGAAATCTAAAAATTTTTGAAAGACTTCACTTTTGTTTTTGATAAAATATACAAAAGTTTTTCTTGTAAAATCATCAATAAACGTTAGAAAATATTTACAGCCCGACATTGAGTCTTTACTCATTGGTCCACATACATCAGTATGAACCAAACCTAAAATATCATCAGCTCTGTTTGCTAAACCCTTTTTAAACGGTTGTTTGGTCTGCTTTCCCATCAAACAAGCTCTACACTGTAAGTTAACTGGATTATTAGTAAAACTTACCCCTGTAGCCAATTTGTCTCTCAGCAGCTTAAGGTTCCGTACACCAAGATGTCCCATACGTCTATGCCACAACTCTATGTCTATGGTACTGACAGTCGAGGCTAGTGCTTTCTCCTGTGAACAGAGCTTAAGTTTATAAACACCATTATCCTCCACACCTGTATATAAGACATCACCAGTAACCTTACATCCATCCGCTTTCAACAGTTCATAGCCTTTCGCTGAAAATACAACAACTACATTCTTCTTTACAATAGCACTCACGCTCAACAAGTTAGTTGCTAAGTGTGGTACATACATCACTTCACTTACGCCTGCAACATTCTCCTTACATACCACAGAACCTTCTCCAATACCATATACTTTACTACCATTCGCACATCCGATTTCCACTTTTTTGTCATACATTCTAACGTCCATTAAATACTCTTTGCTGTTAGTCATATGGCTTGATGCCCCAGAATCTAAAA